TATATGTTTCATTCACTTTTCCGATTCCCGAAAAAGTACATTCATGTTTTTTCAAAATATTTTGAAAACTAGGTGGATTAGCATCAATAATTCCAATGCAATGTTCATTTTGTTCATTCATATTGATAATTTCCAACTTTTTTGCAGCTTGCAACCCTAATATTGAACATGGTTTATCTGATCTTAAAATATAGAATAGAAAGTCTTTCCTTATATTTTTGAACTGACAGCTCAACATAATTTGTCCGATAACTGTTATATCATGACCAGAGTATGATGAAAGAGTAGCTGACGTTTTCAAAAGTTTTTTTTCACCTAATTCAAGTCTCTTGAAATCACTGTTATTCAGAATGTTTACTTGGCTTCCAGTATCGATCTTAAGTTTAGTTTCATAACCCGAAATGTTTATAAATTCATGCCAATCAATAGAGTCCACACTCAAGTCCACGAAAGAGTTCACACTAGAGTCAATTATTGTCCAAACAATATGGTTTTCATGATTTTCGTCATCATGTTCATTGTTTTCACTATGTTCCGAGATATCATGCACGAATTTATTTTTGCAAAATTTCCGATAGTGTCCACGTTGCTTGCATTTACTACAGTAACGATTATCAGCTATGCACCTACCTTGTGGATGGTGACCAGCCCCACACTTGTTACATTTTTTACCTTTGTAGCTTGTACTAGGACTATTCTCATAAAAGCCCCTCTCATCACCTTCTACATGCTTGGATTTACTGGAAGACGGCCCTGCCCCTGTCGAGTTACCTGTCCACCTGTCGCTGAATTCCGATTTGCATCTGCCCGAGCCCGATCTTATTGCACACACTGAAGCACCGTCAAATTTCACAATTTCCTTCTGAGTAGCCACACTGTGTTCCATCGATCTGCAGATTTGAATTGCATCATTCAACTTTAAATCCGCATTTTGAAGTAATCTTTCTTGAATTCTTGAGTCTTTTATACCTAGCACAAGTCTATCACGCAAGAGAACGTCTTTTTCTTGAAAATCACACGTTGACGCGAGTTTTTTCAAAGCAGTTATGAACTGATCGATCGTTTCATTCGGCAGTTGATCTCGTTTGAAAAATTTGAAATGTTCGTATACCAAATTTTTCACTGGGTTACAATAGTCGTCAAACTTTTTGATGATTGTTTCCAGTTTTATGCTGTCTCCATTGCTCTCATACTCGAAAGTATTGTAAATATGTAGGCCTTCGTCGCCTAATAGATTTAGTAGTATTGCAATTTTGACATTGTCTGCTTTTTCTGATTTTCCACTCGCCAGCAAGTACAGGTTAAACTTCTGTTTCCAGAGCTTCCAATTGTTTGGTATATCACCTTTTAAATTGAGTTCCTCTGGTGCTCTGTTGTGGTCACCCATTATTTATTAACAAATAGACAGGTATTTTTACACTTCACGAAATAGGTACAAGCATAAACACTTCGGCAATTTCGTTAGTGAGTCTTTCACCGTAATAATTTTTATTCGTACGTTCCGATTGTCCTGGACACAAAAACAGTTATTACCGCGCGTTTTCGTCGTTTTCAACCGCTTTTTTCCAGTGAACACATAAAACATAACCTCAAAAAGCGCACTTTTTAACTGCCACCATGTAATATACGTTATTGTTGTGTATCGATGAGGATCGATATTGAAGAGGCTTTTATAAACTTAACACTTTTGTTTGCTATTTATTCATTGTTCAAGAACATACAAAAACATTAACCGGTATCTATTGACTATTGTACGAACAACATGTACTAAAGCTCGACCGCGAGAGGAAGGGCAAACAGGGGTTGTGCCATGTTGCCAGATCATGAGGATATATACATGACATGTTTCACAAACACTCTTGAGTGAGAGGAGACGTACCCTGTTAAGATGACAAATACGTCAGTTTGCATCAAGAGACCCTAATTGATACCATACCGCATCTCTCGACGTTCCGCAATCATTAGTACCGTAAGACAATGAAATAATGTTGGCATTTATAGATTTACCTGAATTTGACACTCGCCAATCTTGTCATATCAATTTGTATCATTATTTTTCTTCGGAATATCGAGTATCATTTTTGGAAATATAATTATTGTGTATGTTCTAAAATAACTAAAATGCAAATTTCGTCGAAACCATGCGAGAGCAATCGAGTCTTATCAAGAGTACCTTTTTCAAGATAGATGAGTTACGCGATCTAAATTTCATAATTCCATACTCAAACTCCTTTTCTTCCATTGGCGTAGAATTTTTAAAGGTGCAATTATTTAAAAAATCAAGTTCTACGCCTATGTATTATTATCGGACAAAATTTTAAAACCATTTTTTTCGCCACATGAAACTATCAATATACAAAATTCCAGCAGAATCGCATATGCCGTTTTGAATTTATATGGGAAAAACGATTTAAAAATTGTAACTTCAAGGCCCTCTGGAGCCCAGATAATGCAACTTTGTACTAAGGTAATTTTACTTAAATCGACTTATTTTGGTCTAGGAAATATGTTGTATGTTTTTTTAAAGACCCTGTATATTCATTTTTTTGAATTCATGAATATATATCTGAGAATATTCCTTTTCAAAACATTTATGTAAGCTAAAATCATATACTTAACCAGACTATGAATACAAACCTGAGAAATCGAAAACTTTGATACCTCAGCGAATCGAAGGGTTTTTATCTTCATCGTCAGATGAAAACTTCTTATTCACACAGGTTAGTGAAATTCAAGTATCCCATAGACTGGACACATCTACATGCAACCAATATCACTTATACGTGCCTCGTTGGTTGCATGCAGTCGCATAATATTATCTTCTCAATTCTCATTCCCTTCAAATTAATTTATAGGTAAGCACCGGGTAGGTTAATCTAATTTTCGGAATTACGAAGGGAGGAATTATAAGTTCGTAGAAAAAGTATAGTATGTACGCGTTTATAAACTCTTCTAGACACTCGTTTATTGAACATTCGCTCCGCTCTGCTGCGCTCGTGCTCAAAATACTCGTTACTAAAAGGACGTTCACAACAATTGTTCCATAATATACTATTATCAATACAAGATTTTTTTTTATCGCTTGGAGCGCACGAAAAGGAATCCCTATAATGTTCAAAGAACATCGTGCGTAGGGAGGATAGGAATAGGAGGGAGGAATATGCTGTTATATATGTTCAGAATATATGTTATTTATCAACTTTAATTAATGAACATATAGAGAGTTGTAATATTATATAATATAAAATTACGACAGTACTTGATTGACAATTCAATCAATAATCATCACCTTAGTATTATCATAATACCCAGTGTATTATGTAACATACCCCCTCAAGATAATATAACATAAAATCAACAATTAGAATCTTGATATCACGAAGGTGGTTTGATCATTCGCCTCAAAGTTGATCGAACATTCTCAGACCTCGTAGCAAACTCTTCTGCTTGGAATCTTCTTTCTCCAGTATCTTCTCTTCTATCTTCTGATGCTCTTTTTTCAACTACTTCCTCCCTTTTCTCTCTCCTTCTTCCTTCTTGACGGTTTTCTTGTCCAGGGCGTAAATGTATTCTGTTTCGCCAATACACTCCCCCGCCTTCTGTTTGAACAACATAAATCTCCGGTTCGTTACAGTCACTCAAGATCATGCCAGGAATCCAATTTCTTGAAGATTTTTGCATCAAAACTGGTCCTTCCAAAGGTTTTAAGGGTTTTTTGTTCTTGTTATAATTTGCAGTGACTAAGTTCTGCTTTTTCTTCATTATTTCAATATTTTTGTTAACATCGAACAAAGGCTTCATTTGATTTTCAGTAAACAACAATTGCGTTCTGATTCTTCTTCCCATTAACATCTCTGCTGGAGAAGGTAATCGCTGCTTAGGCGTGCTGTTGTATTCCATCACAATGATGTTAGGATTCTTATTTGGGGACTTATTCATCAAAGATTTCAACGTTTGGATGTGGCGCTCTATCATACCATTCGATTGACTATAGTGTGGACTTGATGTAACACGGGTGATATCCATGCTTTTCAAAATTCTTGGAAATCTTTCGAATCGAATGGAGGTCCATTATCTGACATAAGACACATGGACAATCCATGCGATTTAAAGACACTCAGTAGTGCTTTTATTACTTCTGCACAATGTTTCCTAGTCATTGTGACTAACTCAAAAATCTACCCCAACATTCTCCCAAGGAAGTTCAGGTATAGGATGTGAGCGCAATGGTTGACTAGAGTTAGACTTAGAATATTTCATCCAAACTAAACAGGAAGAAACTAATTTTGAAATTTGATCAATCATATTGGGCCAAAATACAGATATTCGAGCTTCATTTTGACATGATACTATTCCCTGATGTGTTGAATTTTATGGAGTATATCTATTCTTTGGTCATTTGGAATTATAAGTTGCTGTCCTTTGTATAAAAATCCATCTTGTTCAAAAATGTCATCTTCAAATTGATAATAAGGTCTTGCAACTCTAGAAACAGATGTGATTTGATTTGGTCACCCATTCTAAACATAATTTTTCAAAATCTCAAGTTCTTCATCAGAATTTATACTCCTTAATAATTCATTCTTCTTTCTATCCGACAACATTATGATCGACCTGATATGGAAATTATCAACATCATCAGTATTTTTATAATCCTGAAGAGGACTTCTGGATAGCAAGTCAGGAATATAAATTTCTTTGCCAGGCACATATTTTAAAATTACGTCATAGGAAATCCCTATAATGTTCAAAGAACATCGTGCGTTCCTAGGGAGGATAGGGACAGGAGGTAGGTATTTGAATTTATTTTGAACTTCTGGAGATTATATGTTGTTGGGAATACTTCCTCGGGCAATGAATTCCAGAGCATAGCCGTTCTATGGATGAATGAGTTTTGATAAAGTGCTGTTCGACATCTTTCGAGATTGACAACGAAAGGATGTGCTTTATGCATGTTCACCCTAGATGGGATATCACCAATTTGGTATATCATTATGGAGAATCATTTGAATCAAAAGAAAGCATTACCGATATATTTATTACTCAACCTACCTAAAAAATACACATCACAAATCAGTTTTCTCAATTTTCATGAATTAAATTGAAATAAACATTACACTCGTGCTGATCAATGTACAATTGTGTTAGCAGTAGTTCTCCTCCTGTAGTGAACAGCTTCGCCTCCTAAATTCCAACGAAATTTTTGATTCAGCCAGATTCTCACTTTCCTATAGAAATTACTTATTTCATTTTGTACCTGAAAAAAACAAGGAAACTCATTCAATTGCAGAGGTCTGCTCCCAAAGATGCGTATGGATATAGTAACAGTACCAAATATTATAAATTGTAAGTTTTCATGGAATTGGAACATACTCATTACTCAGCTACCAGCTAGCAATTTATACAGAGTGTTAGTGAATAAGTGCGACAAACTTCAAGGTGTGATTCCTTCTGATATTTTGGGAAATAAAGTACACATAAATATGTGTCCTAACTTGCTTCGTTTCTGATATACAGGATGTTGAAGTTTATTTATTCATAACGCCCTTGTACAAGGTGGGCCAAAAGAAGTCATCCGATGTTATTTGGCTCTCATTTTTTTTCTAAATGAAAATCTTCGATTCTGTTTTTTGATTATGTTTATTTGGACCTTTAGAATTTTATTGGTCAAGTCGTGAAGATGATATCGGCCAAATGGGCGCCGCCACAATTGATTACTCCACGGGCTAGTTTAATGGCATTTTTCATCACTTCGGCAAGATCTTCGGGCGACAGATTCTGGCACTTGTGTCGAATGTTGTCCTTGAGGGCTTCCAGGGTCTCAGGCTTGTTCACGTAAACACAAGACTTCAAAAAAACCCACAAAAAAGTCTGAAACGGTTAAATCGGGCGATCTTGCGGGCCAGAGCAAATCGTCAAAACGGGAGATGAGGCGATCTGGGAACGCCGCCTTCAGAATATCGGTTGTGGCTCGCGCAGTGTGTGCCGTTGCTTCTTCCTGTTGGAACCACATGTCCTCCAGTCCTAATTCGGTCAATTGCGGCAGAAAAAACTCGGTAAACATGGCCCTATAGCGCGCATCGTCCACTGTTGTCGTTTGACCAGCGGCGACCTCGAAAAAAATGACCTGATGACTCCTCCAGAGTAAACAGCGCACCATGCAGTCACTTTGAGCGGGTGTAATGGCTCCTCGTTCATCACTCGTGGATTTTCAGTGCCCCAGAAGCGATAGTTCGGCTTGTTCATGTACTCGCTGAGGTGGAAATGAGCCTTGTCGCTCATTATGAATTTGGTCGAAAAATCGTCCACGAGATTGAGGATGGCTTGGCTTTTATTATTCCGCTTTCTTGGGGAGTGTATCGCTCCATGGCTTGTTCACTTGTAATTCTACATCTGTCTCTAGTTCACAAATGTCGAAACAGATCTGACATTGGCCGTCATTTGCAAAATAAGTGCAACTTCCGATAGGGTGAATTCTTTTGGCCCACCTAGTATAAGCTTTCATGGTGCCAAAATTCAGTACCCTAATAACACAATAACATCTGTAAGACGTCGTAGAAACATCCATATGGGATGATAGGAACATCTCTGGAAAATCCCTATTTTCCGTGGGACATTCTTGGGATGTTGCTGGCAACACCCATGTCAGCATTTGCGATGTCTGGTAAACATCCTATCAGAATGTTTGTGGAATGATACGGGATGTACCAGAGACATTCAGGGTACTTGATATGAAACATCTTAAAGAAACTTTTAGGATGTTTTTTGTTTGATGACAGTAATGGATGACACGGTATGAATTATTTTCAATCTGAAATCCTGAAAATGGCCGACCTATTTCCAGAAATAAAATATAAGGTCGGTGCGATCCAATAACTAAATGGAAGATATATGATAACAGTACAGTTGTTTGAGGCTCATATTTGTTGGCGCTGGGCCGACGGCTGTTAGTAACTCTTAGCAACGTAGTTGTACCGCCATCTATCGGCTGGTATAACAAACAAATTCAGCAATAAATATGCTGAAGAGATATATTTCAATTTTGTCGTTTATTATTACATGATTCATGAAGTTAAGCAGGTACTTTGGTAATCTTATTGAGGAATATTTAGTTTAATTATTTCAATTCGTTATCGATGAAATTATCCGGCTTTGGTATAGGTATATGAGTACGAATACAGTTTTGGTTTCCATTTTTTACCAACTTTTCAATGTTTCAAATGTCACAATTGTTTGAACTGTTCAATCATGTCAATCATCATTAGCAAATATGGAACCATTATATTGTTTATAAAAAAGATCAAATGGGATGTTTCTAGAACATCCAATGAAAACATCTGATGGATGTCCCAAGAGAAACATCTCTGGGATATCGTACCTAAGTCTGAAACATTGGGACATTTATAGGATCTTAGCGGGATGTATACCAGCAAGATCTCGTGTTGTTAGGGTATGGTTGAAGACTGAAAAAGTCACAAAATTTCAAAATGATTCTTATTGAGGTTATCGAGTAATCTCAATGAATGTTTCGAGAGCACCTACTATATTGTTTTCTCAAATACTAAGCGAGATACAAAAGAAATGCAGAGGATGAGAAAGTTGATATTTCAATTGTTCAATCTAATTAAAATATTTAAGTCAGGTAAACCAGTAACGAACAATGATATTAACCGTAAATATCGATAAATCAACCCACTGTGACGTCACTGAGAATATATTTCCGAATCATATCAAAAGAAGCTCCATGTTACATTCAACAAAACCATCAAGTTTCATTGGAATTGGTGAAAAGTCATTTGAGTAATGTATAGAAAAAAGTTTTTTCATGGAGATACTCATACCCTGTATCTCGAAAATAAAGCCAGTTAGGACCACAAGTTTATACCAGGTGACCAGTTATATTCTAACCCATTTCAACTGCTCATATCTCAGAAACTATTCAAATTATCGTTGTGCGCTTTAGACTTCTCTATTTTGATATTCTTCAAGTTTTTCGACTGGTTCACCTTGTCACCTGAACTTCCGGTTCTACCGGAAACAAACAAGCCATTATTCAGGTATAGGGCAACTTTGATAACATTGCATAATCTCATTAAACCATTCCACAAGCAGATCCTGTGATGTTGAGAGAACTTCGTGAGAACCAAGGAAAAGAAGGTATTGATTGGTGTTCTTCGTAAATTTCTGGAGGTTATATGCCTTGGGGAACACCTCCCTTGGCAATGTGTTCCAGAGCCTCGCTGTTCGTTGGATGAACGAGTCTTCGGAAAGAGATGGCCTGCAGGTCTCCAAAAGTGACCACGAAGGGGTGCGAAGCCCCAACTCGACGGGTTAATCTCGCGGGGACTGCCAAGGGAGGAACAATTGTTGATATTTCAGAAGAACATCGTCCATGGAAGATAAATATCTAGTTGTATTCCACTTCAACAATGAATAATAGGTATGTGTAATAATGTGAGTATGCTGACATTCTAATAAAAATCTCGCAAACAAATTATTTCTTACCTCTGTGTTGGAATAGCAGAATAATAAGGCCACCATGATGCCTTGCATCGGTTCCATAGAGTACCTGAAGTAGTCGTATAAGTCCTCTGCTAGACAGGAATCGTCGAAGACGTACTTCTTAGCTGTTACGACGATATGGAGACCGAACAATGGAATCAGGAACAAGGTAGCTCTCAAAGCGGCCCTAGAATAGATATTTCTATATATCAAGGGAGCATGTGCATTTTGATGCCTGACGCATAGCGAAAGGCATAAAACACACATGGAAGGAACTAGACCTCAGCTCCCATGATATATAAATTATTTTTTCCTACGAGCGTGCGGTAAAGTAACTTTCCCGCATGATTTTTCGTTTTGAAAGATGCACTTTTCAGTACGATTTTGATTTTCCGCATTATTTCTACTTTTCCGCACGATTTTGAAGAAAATACCGGGAGACATGTGGTGATAACTGTTGGCACCAGAACGTACCCACAGCAACAGTCGCTATAACATATCAATCCCTAATAGCACACAACGTCCTAGGGACGTCCTTATTAGGTACAATTCACGTCCGAATGTCCCGAACAAAAATGAGTGTCCTTGGGACGTCCCATCCCGTACATCTCATGCAATGTCCGAGAAAGGACGTCCACGGAATGTCCCAGCTGGTACATCATTCTAAATGTCCTTGAAATAACATCTCTTAGACGTCCCACGTGGTACATATTGTAGAATGTCCATGCAAGGACGTCCTCGACATATCCCTGATAAGAAATGATTGTAAACGTTCCTTTAGGGACATCCATCGGATGTCCCGAGTAGTACATATTCTGGCATGACTTCAGATCTTATATAATTTCCCTTCTAGACAACCATGAAATGTCCCTGATGGTACATTACATATATATAATGCCCCTTCTAGACAACCATGAAATGTCCCTGATGGTACATTCCTTCAAATATCTCTGCACAGACGCTCTTAATATTTCCAGGATCGTATAACAATCGAAATGTCCCTTAGGGATATCCGTCGGATGTCCCAATTGGTACATGAACTGTACTCTTCCAATGTCCTAGAAATAACGTCCCATGGACGTCCCAGTCGGTACTTTCAATATGTTGTCCCTGCGAGGACGTTAACTTATACACCTCGCCGACGAATGATTGCCCGTAGGTTATAAGTACTCCTCGTTAATGTCCTTCACTTGAGTCCATTGGACATCCTTGGGAAACTTTTTGGGGACCTTCTACGGACAATCAACTCAACTGGATGCCCTAACCAGTTATGCAAGATCTGGTCCTAGAGGGACCTAGGAAAATTCAAATTCAAGAAAAATTCGTACGTTCCTGGGACATCCTATGGACATCCAGTTGATATTCCTTAGCGTTGCTAATAGGTTGTCCTATGGATGTCCTAAGGATGTCCTCTCTAGTGCTTGATGAGGAATACTGTAGGATTAAGGTATTCGATAGTTGTCCCAGGGACATCCCTCAAGGACGTCCCTAGTTTGTCCTCAAGTGGGACATTTGTGCGTCCCACAGACGTCCAATGGACGTCCACGGTACCAAATTCGAACGTCCCATGGATGTCCTGAATGTCCCGACAGGACGTCCTAAGGATATCCATGGGACATAAGTGTGTTATTAGGGATATAACACAGTAGTGGCAGTCAACAAATAAGCATTTCAAGCGTCATTTTTCCGTGTACGTGATTCCAATCAAATTCAAATAAGAAACGACGTTTTTCAAGATGTTGCGGCATCTGCTATATTACAGCATGAAACAAACACAAATTGCACTTTCAATCTCAATATTTACCATCGTTGATGTTTTAGTTATTGTTATTTCAATGTTCTTCGAATAAGTTCCCTATTATATCGATGATAAAAAAATCAATTTCATGATTTTTCATTTCATGGAAATATCGTGCGGTGAACTTACTTTTCGGCACCAAATGAGACATGTAACTATTTTGTCTAATGTGTCATTTTGTAGCATCATTATAAAATACGGTATATTGAAAACCTTTTTTTTTATAAATAATTGACGACTTGCCCGAACTCCATTTCGCGTCGTTCGTGCCACTGCCGTCGCGTGCGGAAAAGTATTACTTTCCGCACTTGTTAGGTAAATAACTGTTTCTATGAACGCATATGAACTGATCGAAAAAAGTCAAGGATATTGCCTTATTCTTATGAAGACATCATTCTAGAAAAACTTTGGTATTCCAATCAATATTTTTAGTTATTGACTGAAATGTGCGGAAAAAAGTACTTTTACGCAAGAGTTAGGTACAATGTTCTCTCAACGAGTGTGTTTGTTTATCTCATTCATGAAAGAGAAGGTTCATATTAACGCAGATTTCATAATAATGCTACAAAATGACACATAAGACAGAATATCGACAGAAATAGTTATATAGCTCATTTAGTAGGTCAAGAATATCTTCATTTTTATAATAAAATACACATATTCTATTGGTATATTGGTTTTCAAAGACTTAGGTTTTGAAAGCGTTTATCAGTCTGGGTCAAAATTAGGCAATTCATTAGGCAATCCGAAAGATAAAGTGGACACACTCGAAAAGTCGGGAATATACGAAATAAGTTGTAATGATTGTGATGAAACATATATAGGCCAAACCAGGCGACCCATAAAAACAAGGTTCAAAGAACACATAGCCCATTTAAAATATGGCGGGTTAGATAAATCTTGTGTAGCCGAACATATGTTCAATCACAATCAAAACACACATATTACTAACCTCGAATTAGTTGAGCAAGTTAATGACATTAGAAAACTAGACGCATATGAAAGCTTGGAGATATTTAAGAATATTAATGACATTAGAAAACTAGACGCATATGAAAGCTTGGAGATATTTAAGAATAGTAATAGAGTAATGAATAAGGATATTGGACCTATTCCATATAGCCCTCTATATAGTTTAGTGAAATAAAAATTAAGATTAACATGTGAACTCAACCATGACAAACATTAACTTGACGGTTAGTATTTTTCACAGTTGGGTAAACATATACCTAGTATACAAGCAGCACACTAGAATAGGATATTTAGTTTTAATCTTCTCCTGAAGATGCTAACATAGTTAGCGAAACACGTGTCGAGGCGTTAAAAAATCGGTTTGGTTAGTGGTAAAACAGTGTAGTATATTCTATTGGGATGTTCCATAAACATTCGGGATGTACAGTTCTAAATATTCTGAGAATATTCATAGTATATTGGAGGAGAAGGAAGGAAATTGAAAAAAGGCTTGCTTGGTGGAGATGTGAACGTACTAACTTGTGATTGAATTCTTACAAACCTGAAACCTCATCCACTTCGCCACGAAATCTTATTGATAAAATAAGATAGCAAGATTACAACACTGAATTAGTGGGATAATCAGCATCGAGGCTAGAGAATAATAGGTTGTGTTAGGGTGAACATTATAAATATTAAAAAAGTCATGGAAAGCATCCATTCTCAAAGTGGTCCGGTATTCTTCAACAGGAGAAAAAAAACGAACTCAGTCGGTCGACCACAATATTTAATATCGAAAATGGAATCACTGTGACTATAGTTTCGGCTCTACGGTCATCTTCAGACACAATTAAAAAGTACCTAGAAAGTAATAAGTAGTACAGGTGTTGAACAAAATGGTAGCTGAGAAAGAGATGACATACCTGTTATGTGGAAAAACATAACAGGTATGTCCACATAACACGTATGTCATCTCTATCTCAGCTTCCATTTTGTTCGACACCTGTACTACTTATTACTTTCTAGGTACTTTTTAATCGTGTCTGAAGATGGCTGTAGAGCCGAAACTATAGTCACACTGATACTACTTTTGATATTAAATATTGTGGTCGACCGACTTTGAGTTCGTTTTTTCTCCTGTTGGATTATAATATTGATACAATTAAGAATGCAAACATCAATATTATATATTTTGAAATGATTCTGAATACTCTCAGGAAATTCAAAAATAATATTCTCAGGATATTCAAACATAAAATTATCGGATTATGTCAAATTGCGACATGAGAATAATCTAGGATCACTCTGGAAAAATTTTATGCGAATATTCTGAATAAGTACCTATATTTGAACGTTGTCAGAATATGCTGTGCGGTCTATGGAACTGCAAACTGTATTGCCGCACGTTATCAGTAAATTGTAATACTTCCATGGATATTATATTACTATTTTTATAATTGAATCAAATCAACATGAAATTGAATAAAGTTATAGTTAAGATACACATAAGTTCAAAAGAATGAATGAAAATAAGCGGACAATTTTGACGCTCGCGCCTGTGAAACAGAAGCGCTATTTTCCTGTGTTGTTCTTATGTTGCCAAATGCCATCCTTTCTTAAGACCCGTATATAGGTTCATTCGGGTTCGAACTATTACTGCTCTAGAACTGTCAGGAGTTCGCGTAGTAGAATCGGTCGCGTTCGGGTTTCCTGGAAATGTTCTGGGACTTACGCGTACGGGTTTTTCCAGAATCGTCCTGGGACGGTCCTAGAACTATCCGAAACCAGTACCTGCTCTCGAGCATGAGCCGTTCTAGGATTATTTTTAGCGCATGCTCATTTCATTTAGTTTTCGATTCTGTCTGTTGTAGCGTAACGGCATAATGATATATTTTCGTTCATTCAACTGTTCATTGCTCTTTTCAATATTATCTCAATATCATGGAGTTAGTACATTCATTTGATAGTAGTAGATCTTCATCTTCAGGAAGCATTGGTGAAGGAGTTACTTGCTGAAGTTGCTGAAAACATTGTACCTATAATCTGATATTTTTCGAACTTTTGTTAGATAAACCGAAAAATGGAGGATTATGTTGGGGAGACTTCACCATTATATTCAGATACACAATTAATTGAACATAACATTTCAGGTGGGTGTCGAAATCCATGTAGGTACAAGGGACAAAACATATTGAAAATCTAGCTACGAATGCTATGATGGAAAATATTCACCATTTCTTCACAGAGGGTTTCCAGATATATTGTGGATAGACTCAAAGGAGAGTTTGAAGTTTCAGAATATTGTTCTAATGAAGATACAGGTGTCAAACCATTGCTTTTTCGCAAATTCTGAATAGAGGTTATGTTCTCAGAGGTTCTCGTCTGCCGCGTACGGGTTTTCATAATTTGTGAACCGTTCTGAAACAGTCCTAGGATTCGAAACGACTGTGCACTAGTTCTACGCAGTTCGAGAACGATTCTTGAACATTTCTGAAATCGGAACCCGAATGAACCCTATGTAACAATCTTGACATATACTAACTTTGTTTGCTTGGTAGTACTTCCGTTTTTCAACTTCATGAACATCACCCTCAGTATATCAACGAGCAGCGTCGTATTGATGACGAGCACGGCGATCCTGAAGCCGTCGAGGATCCACTGAAGACTGTTGATGTCGACCATCCAGCAATTTTCGGCTTCGTGGGCTGCCATTGCTATAGCCCAGCACACACTCGACGAGAATGTCAGTGCTGTGAAACAAAAAACAATCGAATCATTTTTGTAGAATTTATGATATTTGTATATCGCTTATTCAAAGTTGAGAACAGTCTTCCGATTGCGGGGTTAAAATATCTGAGGTAGGTATAGGCTAATAATGTATGCAGACAATTCCTCGGTGGTGATTGATGCACAGACCTCTGAGGAATTTTATCAGAAAACAAAATGTCTAATCAACACGTTTCACAACTGGTGCAATCAAAATTCGATCCAACTAAATCTTGATAAGACAACATACGTGAACTTCAGTTACAAAAAAAATCCCCACACTTCACCATGTCTGCTATGGCCTATGTATCAGAAATTGAATTTCTGGGTGTTCATCTAGATGAGTTCGTCAGCTGGGACGAACACATAGATCATATCAGTAAAAAACTCAGCTCAGCATTCTATGCCATTGTACAATTGAAAAAAACATCGAATTTGAGTTTGCTGTATGCTAATACGAATAAACATTATTATTATCATCATTATTATTTATAATTGATTAGATTTAAAGTGGGACCTTTGGGCTATCTGCCTCCACACCGCGACCTTTTCAGATTTATTGTGTCTGCCCTCAAAATCGTTTAGAGTTCTTTGGCTAGCCCCGCCTTCTCTATGAGACTCCATGCATAGGCTAGCTTTCAGATTCCCTGTGTAACTTTGGGCTCTCGGTTTTTCCGCACCCAGCATAAGAAACCTCAGTCTCGACAAGCCCTCACAGTGGCAAAGTATGTGTATTGCTGTTTTCTCCTCTTCCTGACAGAGCCTGCACAGCAGTTCTTCAGTCAGAACCATCGTACTCATGTGTTTGTTGAGCCTACAATGCCCTGTGAGGAGTCCCACTAGTGTTCTAGTTGTACTTTGTTCCTGGCTCAGTAGATATTCTGTGAATGTTGACGATGGTTTTTCAATGAACTCTTTTGCCTGTCTCATTCCTGGCGAGTTGTTCCACCATTCTTGAGATTTGGTTTCCATCCATGATTTGATACTTGTCTTTTGTATAGCTTTCACAAAACCACGCAAAGGTTTCGGGCCAGTTTATTCAGAGTTTCTGAGCAATCCCATGCTAGCTTTGTTAACTTGCATTGAGTTAATTGCTTTGATTGCCGCCTGGCTATCCATTGCAATGGTTTTTCCTTTGAACTCTTGCCTTATCAATTCTTTTACGCGAAGATGTATTGCAATAATTTCTGCCTGAAACACCGTTGCTCATTTGCCTAAGCTCAGTGAGATTCTTGTCTTTGGCTTGGCCTCATAAATACCAGCTCCTGACCCTTCCTGGGTTTTGGAGCCGTCCGTGTAGACAGCAATGTCGAATTCGAACCGATAGATAACTGCCTCTAGGTTAATTTGGAAAAAAAGCAACCAGATTCAGAACTGCTTAAAATTGCTTATTCAAGTTTTTTTGGGCAGATAAAGACTGAGTAGTCGAACGGTGAGGGCCCCAGAAATTTGGAGGCCCCAACGCATTGCGCTCACACGTCTTATATATGCTAGTTATGCCACTGTGCCTGGATGACAGCCAAGAATCGCACTGTTCTTATAAAAAATGCTCAATGACGCCGGATTCGAACTATCGACTGACTTCATTTATTTTTGTTTCAGCAGAAAGAGTATCGAAAGTTCTACGTTTGAACAAAGTCGCAAAATTCAATTCCAATTTTCAGAACAAACTTTGTCTTTTTGATGTAAAAGTTTGCGAAATTTCGACTTCACCACTGGATTCAACATCATTTTCATTGAAAATTTTTGATTGGAATCGAAGCTGAAACAACATTGATTTGCATATTTTCGTAACATAGGTACCGACCATATTCCATGAATATTTTAGACAAACTGAGAAGCGGCCACATTGGCAAAACAAATGTAGCCAAATCATCGAGGTTTCTAGTAGACGCTCGAATTCATTACGCAAGATATTTTTTGGAGTTATAACATCATATAAATAGTTTTTTATTAGGAGAACACAAAATTGTATGCAATATTTTCAATTATTGTCTTTATATGTTTTTCAAACGGTGGTCAAGAATTTTGAGATGATGTATGATCAAAATATCCATTGATGCAGGGTGATTTTCAAATAGTGTGAAGTCACTCTACGCACGATTCAGGTGCCAACACTATTTTTTTTTACTGGTGTTAAAATCACATCAATACATTTCCGCAATTAATTGTAATCGTCAATGAGATGAAGATGAAAAAGTATAAAACAATGAATAACACATGATTACATGCTCATAATGTTCAATAGGCAGTTGGGTCTCCTCCTTTTTCCTTTTATTCCATATACACTCAATCAGATTCATAGCAGGAGAATCTATGTTTTTTTGATTTTTTTCACATTATTGTTTCTTGAGGATCACCCTATGTCGATATGAATTCGTTGATCATGCAACATTTCAAAATTTTTGACCACCGTTGGCACACAGCCAATAGAAATTGAATAAAAATATGCGAATACTGATAAAATGGGATCATTTGAAATGTTTGAAAAATTGCACAGCTTTGATCATCTTTTTGTAGATTCTCTTCTTGAAGAGATGCATTGATCATTTCCATATCTTGAATTGACTCGGCCGTTACTTGATGGAAATCCATGGCAAATTTGAAAACTTCACAAACGATAAGATTTCCACAAAATTCTCACACGCACGACTTGTTTCGCTAACACAGTAGCTTCGTCAGGTGAAATACTGGTACGATGAACTAAACTAACATTGGCCTGCTTATATATCCTACTTTTACCAACCTGAATAATTAGTTACCGGTGGACAGGTTCGAAAACCTCCATTTTCGGAAATTAGGCACAAAACCTACATTAAAATACGGTGTACCGGTAACCGGATCAAATTGAAAGGGTTGATATCAAATAGATATTATTACTCACTAAGAAAACAAATTCAACAGTAGTGAACTATTGAGGTCTAATTGATCATCAAGTGAAATGTCAGAATTTTTGAGTTTGTTCATTTCTGATGATTCAAAATGATTTAGTTACATTCCTTTATTTTGTAGGTACCTGTAGAATTCCGAAATCATCATCAGGACTATAGTTCTCTCCTAATATATGGTTGGCGTATGTTGGATTTGTTATCCTTTTCAAAAAATTCATCATGTTCATGAATGCGCTGATTGAACGTACGAGCTGTCTGACCGATATACAGGGTGTCCCTAGACCAGTGGGACAGTTAAATATCTTCTGAACCAATGGGAATTTTCAAAATATTATAATTTCACATCATATCGCATTATGAGTGCTAACTTCAGGAATGACTATATTTTATACGAGGGGCGCAAGAAAGGCTCACAAAATCGAACATCAATTTTTTCAAATGGAACACCCTGTATTCCATTGCATTTTCATATTCTCCTTGAAGAGCTGAGTTCAACGACCTAGCACACTTTTGGGGTCTAGCAAGAATGATTTCCGAGATATAGGGTGTGGAAAACCGAGATTTTTAATTTTTGGGAATTTTTTGTGTCGAAACTATTCATTATTGGTCAAAACGGCTCACATGTCCATATCTCAACTTTTGATTTACTATTCACTCGTATTTAATTGAAACAAATACAGGGTGGTGAAGAATTAACAGTTTCAGTCAGAATTCTACACCACCCTGTATTTGTTTCAATTAAATACGAGTAAATTGTAAATCAAAAGTTGAGACATGGACATGTAAGCCGTTTTGACCAATAATGAATAATTTCGACACAAAAAATTCCCAAAAATGAAAAATCTCGATTTTCCACACCCTATATCTCGGAAATCATTCCCGCTAGACCCCAAGTGTGCTAGGTCAGTGAATTCAGCTCTTCAAGGAGAATATGAAAATGCAATGAAATACAGGGTGTTCCATTTGAAAAAATTGATGTTTGATTTTGTGAGCCTTTCTTGTGCACCTCGTATAAAATATAGTCATCCCTGAAGTTAGCACTCATAATGCGATATGATGTGAAATTATAATATCTTGAAAATTCCTATTGGTTCAGGAGATATTCAACTGTCCCACTGGTCTAGGGACACCCTGTATACCTTAGGACAAGATCCACAGTTGAGTTTGTATACCCCTGAGTTTTAGAATTCAGAAGTTTTGTCTTTATTATTCTTGATAAACCTTCCCTACGTGTTATTTGTTCTATATACTAGTGAATGTCCTTTCGGAAGTAAATTTCAATAAAGAACTCAATGTCGTAAAACAGATTGCAGTCAACAACGGATACAACGTTGATTTGATAGACAGTATTCTTTCTAAAAAACTTCATAATAAAGCTATTCATGAAGTTCATCCTACCATCAAGAATAATAATCAAAATTATAGAACTTTGACCTATTTTGGTTCATCAACTGGAAAATGAGCTCCATTTCTACATAAACAGGACTTGAAAGTAGCATATAAAACAAATCACACGTTTGGAAGGTTTATCAAGATTAATGGAGACAAAACTTCTAAATTCAAAGTATCAAAGGTATACATACTCAACTGTGAGTCTTGTCCTAAGGTATATATCGGTCAGACAGGTCGTACGTTTATTCAGCGCATTCATGAACATAAGATGAATAATTTTTCGAAAAAGAAAACAGATTCAACATACGTCAACCATATATTTGAAGAAAACCATAGTTTTGATGATGATTTCGAAATTCTACGCGTAGAAAATAAAGGAATGAAACTCAATCATTTTGAATCATTAGAAATTAACAAACTGAAAAATTCTGACGTTTGACTCATCGATTTATTAAACCACTATAGTCCGTTACTGTTGAAATTGTTTCCTTAGTAAGTAATAATATGTATTTGATATCAACCCTATCAAGTTAATATACGGTACACCGTATATTAATGTAGATATTGTGCCTAATTTCCGAAAATGGAGGTTTATCGAACCTCTCCACAGGTAACTAATCCTTCAGGTTGGGAAAGTATGATATATAAGCAAGCCAAGGTTAGTTTAGTTCATCGTACCAGTATATCACCTGACGAAGCTACTGTGTTAGCGAAACATTTCGTGTGTGTGAGAATTGTGTGCAAATCTTATCGTATGTGAAGTTTTCACATTTCCATATGGTCGATAGTCAATGAAATGGACATTCAGAAACTGTGAAAAAAATTAAAATCGCTCAATGCAGTCGAAAGTTATGATCAAATTCAAAATTGATCGAGACATTTTGATTCAACGTTCACATTGTTGAGCAGTTTAGTTACTCTGAGGTACCTATACTCACCAACTAAGGCGATATACACGTACATCATATCGACCTCCTTGGCGAAAGCTCTGACGATGACCTTGTGCAAGTAGAAGCCGTCCAATAGCATGCAGCCGTAGATGCAGTTGATGGAGGAGGTTTCCAGGAAGGCTAAGATCCTGCAGCCGATGCCATTGTTGTCCATGGTGTGTGAGCTGAGCGCAGAAGACTTCAGCGCATCCAGCAGGACCAACTCTTGAACATATTTTCATTTCATCAAGTTCTCTTCTATACAATGATTGTACAGGGTGATTCATCATAAATGCCCTTCTCCTTTAGCTCAGTCATTTTTGAACCGATTCAAGAATTTGGAGAATCATTTGAAATGATTTTTGATAAATTGTTTTTTCGTCGACCTCTACAAAAAAGAAGATTTTCCGAAGTACTTTTCGTCCACAGACACTAACATTTCGTCAGCAAACACTTTTTGTCCGCTGCAGGGTTGCCAGTTCTAGTGAATTTTCAGTAGATCTCCTGATTTGCATATTGATTTACTGAAACATTTCGTAACTTGCTGAAAGATATTCTGACACTTATTTATTATTGTAATTACTTATATTATTGATCTTCACTTAACCACATACACTTATGAATTGCATGATATTTCGGCACGCTCTGTTCGAATTAATTCTACAATGTGAGTAATAAATATAAATATAGGTACTAATGATTCGTATGAACCGAAGAAGGACAGTACTTCATCTGATTCAGATCGAATTCAATTTTTTATATACCTCTGTCATAACAGTTTGTTTCGTACGGTTGATTTTTTCATTTGTGTTGTATTTTTGTTGTTCACTTTTACTATTCGTTCCGGTTTTCGATGTACTCAAACTTTATGAGTACCTATGTTATTATATTTTGTGATATTTGTGAGTAATTTCAAATTGAGAATTAGGAATATGATTATTTTTTCATGAGAATGTTTGTTTTATCCTTCTATATTGTTGGAAATAGGTTGATTTTCTGTTGATTAAAAGTACATATTTCTCTGACGTCATAAGTTCATTTCATTATCCTTTCTTGAAATTCGTATAGCATAAAATAGACCTTGAATATAGGTATCTATTGAAATTCATTGAACTTTTGTCAAAGTATTTAAGTGTACAATACACACCTGGAGTTTGGTGCGTTTCTCTCGACTCACCCTGTGTATCAAATTTTTAAAAACTTCACGGCGAGATGAACAACTCAATATTGGAAAGTCTCCCAGAATAACGAAATGATGATGACGAATAATTCGAGAATTTCTAGATATAGGTACTTTTGGAAATAAAAGAAAAACACAAATTTCGAAGTCAGTCGACCACACTTTATATAAATGAAGATTAAAAAACAGTGACCGGTTTCTGCACAACGGCCATCATCAGACTGTGCAGTACCTAAAATACATCATGAATGTGGAAATTGAAATTGTCACTTTGAAGCAAAAACTTACAAAAGTCACATTATAATCATCAAATAAGAGATTTCACGAACCAAAAAACATCATTAGGCCGAGAAGTCAGGTGAATAAAATGTTTCGTTCAAAACGGCTGAAGAGCCAGAAAAATCTGGCCCTAATCAAGTTGAACATCGAAAAAACTAAGTTTTTTGTCTAAATTCAAAAGGGCACATGTTGACTGGAGGGAATTGATTCAAAGAATGAAAAAACATACAATTGACATGACAGGCTGACATACTGACCTATGAGGCACGAACATCATGGAACAAAAGATAATGGCAAATCACAGAAGGTCTCAATATCAGGAACTTAGGTTCCGAAAGTAAAGAAGAGAGAGCTCTGTGAAGGAGAAGTAAGGAGAAAAACTGAAGTTTTATTAAGGAAAGAGAAGAAAGCCAAGAGGATCGATTAGAAGTGATTGGTGTGCAAATAGGAAGAAGAAAAGAAGATAGAAACATGAAAAAGTAAGGAAGAAGATGGGGAGAACTTGTTCTCTATCAGAAACGGAGGCGGAACAATCAGTGAGTGAGCGCCCAGCAAACATGATTTTTGCGGCCCTCTAAAGGTACAATGAAACTTGCCGGCGAGCGGTAACAGCGGTCCTCTATTGTACAACTAAATTGGGCCGGCTAGCCCGTGTCCCGGCGGCCGACAGCCGACCGCCCCTCTAGAGCCATCAGTATGCCGCTTATTACATTGCAGGGCTTCTGATGGGCAGAAGCAAGTACTCAAATGTACTGCATTCATGGCATATCTTCGGCCCGATTGAGACTTTTCAGAGACTGCCATTAATTGTCCGCTTGAGTATTTTTATTTCCCCGATAGAGGAGTTTTTCAGGGCCGTTGGATAACGGGGTTGAATGAATTCAATATTCATGGTATCCTGTTTTTTATGTTCCATTTTTCAACTTGGTTTGTCAAAAAATATACAGGGTAATGCATATATCTCAGTGAAAATAGGTTTTTTGATAGGTATCCTAGTTTATATCACCACTTGGAAAGCAAGGTATCTTATTTTCACTCAGATTTGCATCACTCTCCTCATTTTCAAACTGGTTGAAAATTGTGGAACATCAAAAAACAGAATTGAGGTCTCCGAGTGTTTTGTGAATCCTTTGGGTATAACAGAAATGTGGAATCCACTTCTTACCTGAAGTTGTTGAATTATTACATAAAAATCTCTGAGATGGCATTCTGATATCACAGTTATTTCCAGGAAACTAGCAGTATAAACACCCCATACTAGAACATAGAACTGAAAATATCCATGTGTGTATATTATTGCCATGATCACAACCAATACATATCAACTATGGAAACATCAAACATCTTAATTCTAGTTCTATCGGATATTTTGATGAAAAAGAATAAAAAGGATTGAAAAATTGGAGAAATTTTAAAAAAACCGTGGTGTGCGGACAATGTGATTGCGATCAAAATCAATTTGATCGTTAAGACCAGTGGAATTTTGGTTGTTTATGCATTTTTGGATTTCAAGGGTTTCAAGAAGATTAAGTCTAGTACCTTTATCACAAATATGGAGAATATCAGAATTATTAGAAACATTGATATTTGTCATAAAGGTACTAGACTTATTCTTCTTGAAACCCTTGAATTTCAAAATGCATCAACAACCACAATTTCACTTGTCTTAACGATCAAATTAATTTTGATCGCAATCACATTTTCTGTACACTACGGTTTTTTTATTTATCAATCCTCTTAATTCTTTTCCATCAAATTATCCGCTCACTCACTGATTGTTCCACCTTTGTTTCTCTTAGAGAAGAAGTCCTCCTCATCTTCTTCCTTTATTTTCCATGTTACTATCTTCTTTTCTCTTTTGAAAATTTTGAAAAACAGTTTGGATCTGATACTTGATCCACTTGTTACTCTCTTTAAAGCATGCATTTCCAAAGGAGAATTTCCTGATGTTTCAAAAGTTACAAAAGTAATACCCATTTTCAAAAAAGGAGATTCTTCAAAAGTAGCAAACTACCGCCCAATATCCATAATTCCCATAATTGCAAAAGTTTCTGAGGTTATACTGAAGCAGAGAATTATGAAATATTTTGAATCGAATAAATTTATCAACTGCTCTCAATTTGGATTCAGGAGTAAATGCAGCACCACACATGCTGTTTTTAAAATTGTAACAGACATAGTCGAAGGTTTGGAAGAGGGCATGAATACTTCTATTACTCTATGCGATCTATCAAGAGCCTTCGACTGTGTCTGCCACGCTACTATAATTGAGAAACTGCGTTTTTATGGTGTCAGAGGCTTATCTCTCGATCTGATACAGTCATACTTGAGTAATAGAAAACAAGCAGTCTATATAAATGAGACATGTTCTGATTTTCAGACTATTTCACATGGTGTACCCTAGGGATCCGTCCTTGGCCCGTCACTCTTCATCATTTACGTGAACGACCTCTTTCACTTTATGTCTCCTCATAAATGTGTTGCATACGCCGACGACACAACCTTGATCAACACTTCTACTCATGCAGAAAGTCTCTTAATCACCATGGCCGATTCATTGGATAGGGCACAAAACTGGTTTAATGCAAACAACCTTAAATTAAATAATGACAAAACTCAAGAACTGGTCTTTGCTAATGGAATTGCAGGCAGGGAAGAGAGTGTCATGCTTCTAGGAATAGTTATCGATGAAAAACTATCATGGTCATCCCATATTGAGCAGTTATGTCAGAAATTATCCACTTCAATATTCCTGTTGCGCAACATGAAAAATCAACTCTGCGAAAGTACTGTGCGATCCTGTTACTTTTATTTCTTTCATACACATATAAATAATGGCATACTGCTATGGGAAAACTCTGTTCATTCTTGTAAAGTTTTCAAGATACAAAAAAGAGCGATAAGAATTATTGCCGGTGCAGGTTACAGGGATCCATATCCATGTCAACAAATTTTCAAACAACTCTCTATTATGCTTGTCCCTTTCCTATTTATCTACTCTACTCTTCTGGAAATTCACAAGAATAAAAGAACTTTGTGTGCCAACTCCGATTTTCATGAGTACCAAACTCGTGGAGCAAACGACTTGAGGCCTTTCCGATATTGGCTCAACAAATCCCGAATGAATTCATTGAATATCGGAATCTATAATTTTCTGTCTCAAGAGTTCAAGACTCTCAATTATAACTGCTTCAAATTGAAACTAAAAAGACACATGCTGTCCCATTGTTTTTACTCTATTGATGAATATCTGAAAACACCCCCACTTCTCGATAATTTGTGTTGATTTCATTTCGAAAACAGCAAAATTTATATTTTAGATTTGTTAGATTCGTGAGAATGTTGTATGTATGTATGTTTGTGATAGCTTAGGTGTATATTTTATTTTATTCTGTAATTGTTTTTGATAACATTTTGTAATTCCAGTGACTTGCCAAAAACATAAGAATTGTAACTTGGTCAAATACAATTTTATCTATCTATCTATCTATCTATCTATTCATCATCATCATCATCATTCTATCTATTATTTGCACACCACATCACTTCTAATCGATCCTCTTGGCTTCCTTCTCTTTCCTCAATAAAACTTCAACTCCTCTTCCTACTTTTTCTCCACAGAGCTCTCTCTCTCTTCTTTATTTTCGGAACCTAGGTTGCTGATATTGAGACCATCTGTCATTTGCCATCATCTCTCAATCCATGATGTTCGTGCCCCATTTGCCAGTATGTCAGCCTGACATGTTAATTGTATGTTTTATCATTCTTTGAGTCAATTTACTCCAGTCATCATGTGAACCTTTGAATTAAGACAAAAAACTCAGTTTTTTTGATGTTCAACTCGATTAGACCATATTAATCTGGCTCTTCAGCCGTCTCAAACAAAAAAATTTCATTTACCTGACTTATTCTCTGCCTGATGATTGGTTTGTGAAATCTCTTTTTTGATGATTGATGATAGGGACAGGAGGTAGGTATTGGAATTTTTTTTGAACTTCTGGAGATCATATGTTGTTGTGAATACTTCCACAGGCAATGAATTCCAGAGCCTAGATGTATTTTAGGTACTGCACAGTCTGATGATGGCCGTTGTGCAGAAACCGGTCACTGTTTTTCAATCTCCTTTTATATAAAGTGTGATCGACTGACTTTGAAATTTTTGTTTTTCTTTCAAAATACATTGGACCACTTAGAGTACGATTTACCTTTGGAAATCATGGTGAAGACGTTTCGCATACATATCGCCATCAGCAGGTTCCGATGCAGTATCACCCGGACGGTCTTCCTCAGTCTCTCGAAGACGAAGAAGATGGCGATGGCCGGCAGACAGAAGGCTATGCACACCCCGAGGAACGCCACGTGGTACTCGTACCGCCTTCTGTAGACGGGTGCGATCGCACACACCGAATAGTCCGTTTGCGGGTTCCACTGTGGCTGGTTGAGATGGTTCCGGGAGCATAATTTCTCGCTTTCTACTGCGAACGAGGAAATTTTCACTTGTAATACCACTAGAGGTCAAATTAGAGTAATTTGACCTCGTGTGGTATTCGGAAAAAAAAATTACTCTAGATTGTGTTTGGGAATTGAATAATTTCAGAATTCATTTTTTCATTTGATTTGCATACAGGTTTATGAATATATTCAGTTTCCCTAATAACACAATTATGTCCCATGGATATCCTCAGGGACATTCAGGATGTCCGTAGGACGTTCCAATTTAGTACCTTGGACGTCCATTGAATGCCTGTGGGACGCATAAATGTCCCACTCGAGAACCAACTAGGGACGTCTTTGAGGGATGTCCCTGGGACAACTATCAAATACCTTAATCGTATAATATTCCTCATAAAGCACTACGGAGGACATCCTTAGGACATCCGTAGGACAACCTATCAGCAACGCTGAGGGATATCAATTGGATCCCTAACAACACAGGGATGTCCTAGGTACGGCCCTTTTTTGTCCCGCGGTACAAGGACATGATTGGGACATCCAGGGGATGTCCTGAAGTGGTTGTCCAGTGAACATCTCGCCCGGTACATCCCTAGGTTATTCTATTCGTGTCCCTGGAGTGTCTGATATCCATTCACATCAGAGAGTCATTGAATTTCATCAAACTATTGAGTTGAATTTTTTTGAAAATGTTGTTTCTCTTCCGGAAAATGATTGTGATGAAAATAAAGAATAAAGTCTCAGAACTTCTTAAGAAATTACCATTTTTCGCAGACAGAAATCGTACATGCATAATGCCCCTCATTTTTAAACACCCAAGAATGATAATAATCATACCCAATTCCTAATAAAGTTGTATTTATTCAGGTTTGGGAGTTTTGGTTTTTCTGCAAAATTACTCATAGCTTTACTGTTGACAGCATTATTGTCATTGATAATACAGAATATTCTGTAACCAATTTCCTCTAATCTATTTATGACTCTCTTTATTAAAGAAAAAATCATTAGGTGATCTTTTTTTGATGTTGGACTTATATGAACAACTTCTTTCAAATTTGACATAACGCTTGCTATCATGAAGACAAATGCGGAATTTGCTAAACATGAATTATTAAATGCCGTTCCTACAATATTGCCTGCTTTGTAATCTAAATATGGCTTTATATGAACTTCATCCATCATAAAAATGACATATTTTTCACGCTCACCTAATAACTTAAATACATTTTCTGCATGAGATGCACTTTTTCGATAGTTCCTTGTCCAACGGGAAACTCAAAGCATGAACTTTTGGACCACCCACATAATTCCCCCGACAAAAGGGAACACAACACTTGTGAGGCATTGTTATTTCGCCTATCACAACACGAAATATTTCACAAAACAGTAATTTCTCCGCCAATTATTTTGATGAATAAACAACAAGAGAATTCTAGCACACGCGATTTACCTACGCCACCGTTCTTAAACAAAAACAAACTGATGATCGATCGACGCGAATGCCTGGGAAGATGGCCTGAGTATGCGACGTCACGAGCTGTTTACGTCAGTGTCTGCTGGCCTTGTTTTATCGGTGGTAACGGTAGAACTCGTGTTGAGCCGGTTATTCATTCTGTTCCACCGAAATTTTTTCAATAAAATTAAAACAATATTGTACATATCTAGCAAGTTGACTCATTCTGTATAACTCTGTGTCCCATTGTTACCCAAAATGAGGCGTTTCCTAGGTGGTTACGTGAATATCTATTTACACAGTGATTAGTGAGCCGCAGATACTTTCAAAGTTAGGCAATCCAACTTAGGATAGAATCAATATGGTGCCTGCTTGGCACCATAAACATATATAAAATCAATAGAATTATGTAACAAGAATATTTTGTAGTTAAGACCTGTTTATGAATCTGTTTAGTACATAAATCTTCAGGAGGCATGATAGCCAATGGAGCAAAAGGTACGTGCATGATAAGCCAAAGGTCCCGGGTTCAATCCCTACTCGACCTGCAACTTTTTTCTTTTGTCGAAAGAATGTCCCTGGAATATCCTTGGGACGTCCTAGGGATGTCCTTTTACTTTAGCGGGTTTGCCATTTAACATTTCTGAAACGATTTTAATCCATTTTTTCTCTCAAAATAAACTTATTCCAAGAACAACCCATATGCCGATTCTGAATTGAATTGGATCATGATTACAAAAATTGTTCGCCATATTCTATTCGCCATCTTGAATTTTCAATTTTGGGAAATAGCTTCTACAACCAATTTTCAGACCTACCGAATTCTGAGGAGTTTGGCAACAATCACCGTGACACGAGAATTTTATACAGGGTCATTCAAACTTTGATTTAAATATTCCAAGAGCTCATTGTTCTTTCAATGAACATGTGTCCTGAAATTCACCCCTTCCGAACTACAGCCACTGTGAGTTGTCAAAAAACAAGAATATTCTTTGTTCTGGTTCCCACGAAAAGGAATGTCCTGTCATGTTCAGAGAACATTGTGAGAACCAAGGGAAATAAGGTAGGAAATGGTGTTCTTCTTGAATTTCTGGAGGTTATATGCCTCGGGAAACACCTCCCTTAGCCATGTGTTCTAGAGCTTCGCTGTTCGTTGAATGAACGAGTCTTTGGAAAGAGATGTCTGCAGGTCTTCAAAGTGACCACAAAGGGGTGCGAAGCCTCAACTCGACGGGTTAATCTTGCAGGGACTGCCCAGGGAGGTACAATTGTTGATATTTCAGAAGAGCATCGTCCATGAAAATATCTACAAAAAAAGCCAGATCGCCATTTTTTCTACGGTATTCCAGAGAAGTGGGTGAGTTTGTGAGCGAGGCATCACCCGCCACGAGACGAATTGCCTTTTTTTGGACAGAATCCAACTGTTTCAGGGAATGTTTGGATGCTGCACTCCAAATATGGGAACAGTATTCCAGGACAGGTCGGATCTGTGCCTCATAGATCATGAGCAGCTGACTGGAAGTGAAATAGCTTCTGGCGCGAAACAGAAAACCAAGTTTTTGGGATGCACGTTTAGCGATTGATCTCACGTGATTTTCCCAAGAAAGGATATTGCTGATAGTAATACCAAGTATCGAAATGGATGTCTCCATTGCGTTCGAGAACGATTACGTGACTTCCTATTCCGTTGATTACGATTTTCTGGTGAACGGTTGATTGTATGAAAAAAAGTTCTGGAGACCAAACACTCACATTTTTTTGTGGCTCACAAGATCATGTTATTCAAATTCAGAGTATCAATTAACCATAAAATGTGGACCAATATAAGTGTGGCCCGCCTTCACCTCCCCGAAAAGTGAGTTCACATCATTTCTGGAGCAAGAAGAGAATGGAGTGTCTGAAAAGACAGGGCCATGAAATAGGTGAGTGGACTAAATTTTTTTTTTCATTCCCTAAATAGAAGCATCACTCAAATACCTCTCTATTTCATATTTTTCAATGATATTTTGGTCAATTTTCAGGTACTAAAGTCATCAAAAATGCCACGGAAATTTTCAAACGACTAGAAATTTACCGCTAATAGAAACTGACGCAACGATTTTGTAAGTAGGGGCAGACCATAGCACAGTTGCGATGTGTTGAAATACGATTGGGAACTTGTGAATGATTATCTTAGGAACAGGTTACAGGCGGTTAAATATAATAATGATTTGTCAAACTATTTGACAACATCTTGTGGAGTACCGCGGGGATCGATATTACGTCCATTACTTTTCACGTTATACATATCGAAATTCGAAAACGTATTCTTGTCATCCTCCTGTCATTTTTATGCAGATAACACGCAAGTCTACATATCTTTTCATCCCGACGAAACTGAACAACCGATATCTGCACTCAATTTTGATTTGAATGAATTATTTGAGCAATCCAGAAATCATTGCCTCTCACTTAATCCACACAAATCAGTTGCGATACTATTTGGAAAAAAGTATGATCGATTGCGAATTGGTAACCTCAATACTAATGAATATCCCATTATAATAAATAATCAAACTATTGAACTACAGAAGACTGTTGAAAATTTGGGTGTCATTATTGACCAAGACTTAACTTACAACAGTCACATTTCAAAGTGTCTTCGAAAGGCTTACGCAGCACTTTACCAGAGACGGCACTTGTTAACGAGGCCAGTCAAAATAATCTTAAGTGAAGCTTTAGTCTTATCACATCTGAACTATTATGATGTCTCATACGATCGCTTTCTCAGCACAAAACACGAAAATCGAATCCAAAGGCTTCAGAATTCGTGTCTCAGGATGATCTTCGGGGTACGAAAGTATGGTCACATCAGTCACCTATTCAAATTCATAAAATGGCTGAAAATGAAAAACAGAAGATATATGCACTCTGCATATTTATTCAAAAAAATCATAACCGCACGTCGTACTATATTTTTTGTTATTTCTATACATTATTTTTGAAACCCATATTGTCAATTATTACTCATAACATAATATTACCAGTGTATTATTACACATTGTTTTGTTAAGCAACAACTGAATCACGAACAAGCATTATTTTGCTTCTGTGATATACATGTTTATTTACTATTACTCATTACTTATTCATACCTACTTATTTTACTTTGTGAATAAACTCTATTATTATTATTATTATTATTATTATTATTATTATTATATTCCGTACAGATGTTCATAACCTCATTATCAGGTCTAAAGGAACCTTAACAGTACCCCTACATAAAAGTACTCAATTTCAACGCTCATACAGTTATAGTATTACCAAAATTTATAATGAACCACCATCAAGAATTAAGTACTCCACTGCTAGTGTATTCACATCCAGATTACTCGAATGGTTACTAAGTCGTCAATAGTTGCTATAGTTTGAATATGTGAAGTCTTTCATCAATGATTACATACAAAGTGTTTCTTTTTCTTTTCTCCTCAATATCCTTATTATATATTTCTCGTAGATGTCCCCTAACAACACGGGATCTTGCTGGTACATCCCGCTGAGGTCCTACAAATGTCCCAATGTTTCAGACTTAGGTACGATATCCTAGAGATGTTTCTCTTGGGACATCCATCAGATGTTTCCAGTGGATGTTCTAGAAACATCCCATTTGATATTTTTTCCATAAACAATATCATGGTTCCATATTTGCCAATAATGATTGACATGATTGAATAGTTCAAACAATTGTGACATTTGAAACATCGAAAAGTTGGTAAAAAATGGAAATCAAAACTGTATTCGTACTCATATACCTATACCTATACCAAAGCCGGCTAATTTCATCGATAACAAATTGAAATAATTATACTAAATATTCCTCAATAAAATTACCAAAGTACCTGCTTGACGTCATGAACCATGTAATAAACGACAAAATTGAAATATATCTGCTCAGCATATTTATTGCTGAATTCATTTGTTTTACCAGCCGATAGATGGCGGTTCAACTACGTTGTTAAGAGTTACTAATAACAGCCGTCGGCCCAGCGCCAACAAATATGAGCCTCAAACAACTATTATCATCTTCCATTAGTTAATGGACCGCACCGACCTTATATTCTCGGATTTGGATTGTTACTTTATATCTGGAAATAGGTCGGCCATTTTCAGGATTTCAGATTGAAAATAATTCATACCGTGTCATCCATTACTGTCATCAAACAAAAAACATCCTGAAAGATTCTTTGAGATGTTTCATATCAAGTACCCTGAATGTCTCTGGTACAGTCGTCTTCAGCGAACATGTCGCGGTTGGACGGTATGAGCGCTCTTATTGCAGTAGTGATCAAGGGAGCTGACACTGTCCATGTGCGACATGATCTCTGAAGACGACTGTACATCCCGTATCATCCCACAAACATTCTGATGGGATGTTTAGAAGACATCGCAAATGCTGACACGGGTGTTGCCAGCAACATTCCAAGAATGTCCCAAGGAAAATAGGGATTTTCCAGAGATGTACCTATCATCCCATATGGATGTTTCTCCGACGTCTTACAGATTTTATTGTGTTATTAGGGTCTATCTGTTTGCTGGGTTAGGTGGAAGAATAGACATTCTAGACCCATTTCAGGATTCTAGAATGAATTGAACCTCGCCCTATCTTTTATATTATTCATTATTATTTGTCGAATCGTGATTAATAATGACCATCATTATTATTATTGTTATCAAATATTAGTTATTCAATGATTCATAAATTCTCAATTGAGTGTTGGTAATATTCCTAATCAGCAATAAAAATTCAATTGTGTCAATATGTTCCCTCATGATTTGTGGCTTATTGCTTATAATCAGTTTGTGTAAATAATAATAATATTAATTCACAGAAGAGGACATTTGAATCGGTGAACGTGACAACCTTGCACACGACTCGTGTCAGTTCTCAGCATTCAGCACAATGGTGCCAAGTCTCCAACATTCACATGATATTTTGTTATGGAGAATGAGGAATATTTGGACATGCTGGTTGCTCGAATAGGTCAAGGATGAACTATTATGTCACTTTTTTTCCTATATATCATGTTTCATCCCAGCGAGCACAAACATCCCTGGGATGTTTTGTGATGTTTTGAAAATGTTGGCATGAGGATGTATTTTTGAGACGTTATATGACTTCCCAAAGAGGTCTTTGAGGGATATTAAAGTATTGTTTTTGTTCTTCTGTGGCATTTCTTTGTGTGCCTACTGAGAGGTATCCCTGGGATGTTTTGGGATCTTTTAAAAATATTGGCAAGCGGATGTTTTTTTGAGACGTAATATATATAACTTCCCAAAGAGGTCTTTGAAGGATATTGAAATTATTGTTTTTGTTCTTCCGAGCCAATTCTTTGTTTGCCCCACCACAATTTCTCATGCTCACGTCACAATACGATGAATTCTAATTTTTTTCCGATTTTGCATGTTGTTCTTGTTCGCATTCGCATTTGCAGTGTCTTTTTTATTCATTCCATTAGGTATTAGTTATAATACCAACTACCTCCATAATTCGTAATAATATCCAAAACAGCACCAGAATATAATTCACGAATAATATTCTGATAACGTGTTCTGTTCTGCTCAGAATGATCATAGAATAATATGTTCATCCTGGCAACAAATATTCCATGAACATTCAATTCGACATACAGAATAATCGTATCAAAATATGATATGGATGTTATTCTTGTATCAATATTTATAATGTTTCTTCTGACTCTTATTCTCAGTCTCAATGCTAATAATTATTATCTTACTAAGTGCATGTTGACATCTTTCTATTCATACCATTCATCAAAACGGTTCCCATGGCTTAGTGGACAAGGTGCTAGGATTGTAAAAATTCAATCTCTATAGAGTAGGTTCGAAATAGTTCGAATCCCCAGCGGGGAAGAGCTCTTTTTTTAATTTTATTCTTTTCTTCTTAAATATATATCCACCAGGAATGTTTTATTTGCAGCGAATGAATGTGCGCAAAACGCTTGGGAAAGGTTATGTTATGTCCATAGCAAGTCTATGAAAAAAAAAACAGGGAAATTGTATTTTTGTGACATCCCAAGGATATCTTTATAAACGCCGCCTGCGGCGGACATTGGCTGTTCTATGAAAGTTATATTCCTGTATGAACAGAACATCGCAGTGGAGGTTCTATGTCTTAACATCTCGTACTTTCAACATCTCTGAGATGTTTTTGTGCTCGCTGGGATTCAACGACAGGACTCAAACATCTTTTTGATAACTTGAATATAATTGGTGACTTGACGACCTTGTTTCAATAGTGGAAATGGAAGATTATCTGACCAATAATGAAACAGCATAAAAGCTGACGTCACCATTTATTCGACGAATTTCCAACTGGCGGCCATGATGTTAGGTCAGAAATGATCTCTGAAATTCAACGATTTTGAATAACGCATAGACTTCTTATTTACATAAAAAAGTGTGTGAAATGTTGCAAAAATTGATTCAGGTTCCTTACGACACAGAGGAGTAATTGGATGCCAATAATTCATTATCAGTCCATGCGCCCATTTAAGAAAAGGTTTTTTGTTACCTTACTTCAAGTAGATGTATAGCTTGGAGGGGGTACATTTTAGGACACGTTTATACAGGGTGTATCTAAATATCACCAAAAAATTCAAGGAGTGATTCCTTGTGATTAGGAAATGAAGTTCATATAAACATGTGTCATAACTTGCTTCGTTTTTGATGAGATACAGGGTATTAATATTTCCATGAAAAATCTTTTTTTTATTCATTTCTCAATAATTGTCTTTTCATCAAATCCAATAAAAAATTGTGGTTTTGTTTATAGTAATATGGAGCTTCTTCTCTAGTGCAATTAGATTTAAAATAATATTTCCAGTGGCGTCACAGTGGGCAAATTTATCGATATTCATGGTGAATGTCATTGTACACTACCGGTTTTTCTGGGTTTCACATTTTCATCAGATTGAACTATTGTAATAACAACTTCTTTATACTTTGTGTGATTTTTGTATCTAGTTTTGTTTTTGAGGAAACAATGAAAATTCGATTTCACTCAAAATTTTAATGTGAGTGTTTTCAAGACCTCCATATTGAGATTACTCAATAACCCAAATTAGAATATTTTTGAAATTTTGGGTCTGTCTCAGTCTCCATGCATACTGAATTTTGGCACCATGGAAGCTTATACAAGGGGTTATAAATGAATACAATTGATACTTCCAACTTCAACATCCTGTATATCAAAAACAAAGCAAGTTAGGACACATGTTATAATGAACTTCATTTGCTAGAGTGTTACAAGGAAACACTCCTCGAATTTCTTCGGTGTTATTTAGATACACCCTGTATATTCTCCAGAAGTTCCAAAAAAATTCCAACACCTACTTCCTTTCCCTATCCTCCCTAGGTATGCTCGATGTTCTTTGAACATTACAGGGATTCCCATTCGTGCGCACCAAGCAATAAGAAAGTAAAATATTGAAAGAGTCATATTTCGATCCCAACAATATGTCTTCGGAATATTGACATCGAATTTTTGAATCAGCCTGATGAAGGTAACGAATTTTGAGCAATCGAACATCACAGGTGGCTTCAGAGGCTCTCGTATCTAGACGTTGGGTCCCAGTAAACACAAACATCCCTGGGATGTCACATTCATGACTCGCTAGGTAGTAACAATGCGAATTACAACAAAACATCATTGGTATAACCAGGAGACTCTTATCCTTTTTACAAAACATTCGCAATATTCGTCACATTTCATCAGATTTGAGACTTGAGATGTAGGTGAATTCATGAGGCTCCCTAACAACCAAGAGACTCGCTGGAACCTCACATTCTTGTCTATTTATGTAACAAACGGAGTTAATCAATTTTGATGTTGAATGAGGACTCGCTTAATACGTACTGTGAGTTTCATTTGGCATCATAATGTGAATCATAAAATGACCAAAAGGATCCGGAATAGCAGTCATCGTGATTTCACTGGGACTCTCATTTCGAGTCACAGATGTGATGTGTGACATGATTGTGATGCCTTCTTATATCTCTGGGATAAATCTGTATCAACTGGGGTGATCTGTGCCAATATATCTTCACAAAGCCACTTACAACGACATACATGATCAGGTGACTGGTAGGCTTGACTGCTGCACGGTATCCTGGCCGTGGTGTCAACAGGAGTAGGAGGGAAGCACGACCAAGCATCCCACACTGCAGGACAGTGAGTATCATCTGTGAACCAATATCAGAAACAATTTTTATTAAAAAAAAATCGATTTTCAGTTGATGCGAGGCTGACTGTTTCGGCTTATCGAGTCTCATCAGTCTCACTATAGGCCAGCTGACAATCGATTTCCAAATAAACAGGTGAGTATGAAAGAAAATATTTTTTCCACCACTAGCTATGGAACCTACCATCATTTACTCATTTCCGAGGCTTAACATGTGTTTTTACTACCAAGATAGTTATCGTCATATTATGAACCACTAGTCAATAAACACATAGCAACCTCTGTTTTGGTCAATCCGATTGCACTGTTCTGATCAGATATTCGCAGGTATGGCACTCGAATCTAGTAAATATTTATTAATAACGACTTGTCATATCCTGTCATTGTCATGGCTGAGTATTGAAAATAAGTGCTGGCATAGTGACGATAGGTCTATATTTCGATTTCACATTATGTTAGTGGTGGAAAAAATTCAATGTAAACCTCGGTAGTAATAGTTATTTATGTATCAAGGGCGTAAAATAGGCTTTTATGGACCGCAGCGTGTAAGTAATAGACCGAGCGAGGGCTATTAACACGCCTAGGTCCATAAAAGATAGTTACGCCCGAAATACATACAACATCTTATGCACGACCTGTATATATTTGATATCTCATTTAGGTATCTCTTCACCCCTCAAGCACAATAAAAATACATCACGGTTGCAGTGAGACTGTATTGTATCCATATCGCAAATACAATTAATCAAGAAGTATGGAATCAACGTTACCATGGCAACTCAGTCAATTTTTTGAAATAGGAATCAATAGGCCAGTGTGTAATCATACATAATTCATTAGTGATTTCAAAATGAATTCTAGTGATGAAGAAAGTGTGAATTGTACTCCACCAGAAATTAGTGAGGCAGCTGAGGAAGCAAAATCGAGTTTATTGCCAAGTAAATCGAAAAAAAAAATATACGACAAAGTATACGAAGAATTCGTAAGCTGGTGCGACAGTTATCATGTAAAAAATAAGAACTACACTGAAAGTTTGCTTCTTGCCTATTTTCTAGAAAAATCTAAATCTCGTAAGCCCTCTTCCATGTGACATTAGCTTTACCACCAGCTCAATGACTTTATCGCCCGCCGGGCGGTAAAGTAGTCCGCGGGCGGTAAAGTGACACTTCACGCCCGCAAACCCGGGCGGTAAAGTGCTACTTTACGCCCGGTCGTGCATAATAGTATATTCTTCAACGAGAGTATAATGATAGCTATTATTCCCGAGGATATGATTCCAAAACGAGCCGTAGGCGAGTTTCGGAATTATCCGAGAGAAAAATAGTTATTATACGCGAGTAGAAGACTATACTTCCTCTACGACTATACGATAGTCAGAAATTCAATGTGATCTAATTTTTATTTATGAAAATAATATACATGATGTATGAATGTTAATGATATGATAATACAATTGACAGGAATCTTTAATATTCAACGAACTCAATGATGAAACAACACAATTATTATTAGGTCAGTAAATTATGTTTCTCGTACTTAGTGACTAAATTTTAAGTGATATTCTCACAATTCGTGAAATTTAATGTCGGTGTTGCATTTAAATCAACACTGACATTTTTATTCATATTGCTAGTTGATGTTTTTCGTGTGAAGGAACTGTTATTTGATGATGATGAACACAATTCGATTCATTGAAGAATTCGAATCTGCCGTTTTTTTTTTCAACATGGAACCTTTTAGAAATCCTTCTACCACCGATGTGCTCTTCCAGCCACCATGTCTTTTCAATGCTGTTATACCTTTACCTGCATTTTCAAGCAAAGCAATGCCCGGTGTACATCTCGGGATTTGGTAGCTTCTGCGTACATGTCGCTTCAAAAATGTAACTATTTGTTTTCCCATTGCTGCAAACTTATTAATTCAAATTTTCTAAATAGTACATTTTCCTTTTTGGTAATTCATGAAGATATTGGAAATCACAACATTTGTTGCTCGTATATCAATGTACTTTTTACAAAATTGATAAAATTTCCCGGTTACAGTGAACCTCCTTACAATTTTTGTTTTGGTCTCAGGAATAGTTATCATCCATGCAGATCCAAGATCTTGAATATCTTCAATATTCATAGAGTACATTTCTATGGAACGGCAAGCCTCCATTATATCCTCTAGATATCAAAGTTAAAACTTAAAAGACTCTATCAGTCAATCTGACATTCGCGAAAGTCAAGCCGTGACGTGACCCGTAAAATGAAGCAGAGCCTTCTTGAGAAATTTGTTTGGTAGATTTGCTGGTTTTTCATTAGTCTAACCTTCTCAGTTGCTGTGGATCCTGAAAATTCTGAATCTGTGATTGGTCGAGTGCCGTTGAATAATGAGTTGGGAATCCACGGTGTCTTGGAATCATCTTCATTCATCAATTACTAATCTATATGTAATCAATGTAGTATACGATAGTCGTAGAGAAAGAATATTATTACCACGCGAACTTATATATACTCCTCGGCTGTAGTTTTGGGATATAATCTTGGTCTCTGGGTAATAATGATATTCTTTACTACCTTGTTGTATAAATAACTGTTTTTCAACATGTGTCCAATGTGGGCGCGACCTCTTGAAGGTAGGTCGCTGAATACAGTTTTCTTCGATTATCTCTATTTTCATTGATCATAAAGTCAAGAAATTTGATACCTAAGGGTGTTTCGATCTTAAAAATCGGATCGTAGAATAGAAAATATGATTTAACATACAGAAAAATGTGATGTGATGCTATAAAATGGCCCCATTTCTTTCTGTTTCAACATAAATCTGATTTCTTTCAAGAAAATATGATTCATCAATCACTTTCATAAGAGAAAATTATTCTTGTTGAATTAATGTGAAACGAACGGTACCGTTTTCGAGAAAAGTGTTATTTTTCATTTTGATGTCCGAAATAATTCACACTCTTAAAAGGGACCATGTACCGCTTTTATGGGTTTCTGGTTCCCGGTCAAATCGGCTGGAATTATAGTATGTTGTAGTTTGTCCTGATCAAAAGCTCTCTTGGGCCCAACTCAATCATATGACTAGTTTTCGAGCAACAGCGATTCAAATGTTGGATTGTGTGCCTTCAAGGGTGGTAGAACAATAGTTATTTATTATACAAGGGAAAAAAGTAGTAGATTTTAGCTCCAGGTTGTGTTGTCTCCCGACGCGTAGCGGAGGGAGACAAAAAACCGTGAGCAAAAATCTAACATTTTTACCGTGTATAATACACTATTTTTTTCTGTGACAGATGGAAGGACGAATCAATATTGAGAAGATATTATATTATTTCGAAATCTGAAAATTATCGACGTGAAATTTCAAGTTTTTAACAGTAGGGACACCTGCGTTTTATAGACATCTTTATCATTCTTTTGAAGTAATCAAATATCTAATGTCACTTCTGTCAGTTCAATTCTGTGATTTGATTTTAAAATGTTGCGAATTCAGTAGTTGTTTAGTAATATACGAAACCGCGAAGTCGAATGGAAGATAAAAGGACTTGCAGTTCTTTCTCGGAGACGGTATTATTGACTCATTTTTCGGAACTATAGCACAACAAAAGCCATTAACAGAGTATATATATGTGATATATATTTGGGAAAAAAGTACTCACTTTTTTCCCACGGGAAAAAAGTAATTTATGAAAAGTGACATTTTATAACCTGCCAACAGAGATGAAATGCCAAACTTTTTTCCCGTCACAGAAAAAACATATTTTTCCAAGTGAATTTGTGCCCTATGAGCTTCAAAAAACGACTTGTTGATAGAATTTCAACCTCAATAATAAGTTGGTTTGGAGAATAATTCGATCAACTTAAATATTGATAACAGGGTGATGTGTGATATCTTGAAAATTAATTTTGTTTTGTAATAATCATGAATTTTCGAATATCAAATGAAAAAAACAGAATATTGAGAATTGCAGTTCATAATAAATGGGAAAATCATGTGTATAATATACAGGGCGGTATTGCACAGACGTATCAGTATCAGTTACTTGAATCTCATGAATCTCAATTGAACTAAATGATATGCGAAACTAACTTCTTCAAGATTGATTTATCAATTCTTTTTTCATCTAATACCCTTGCTGATTCAGAATTGTACAACATGATGTGTACATCCACAAGGTTTTCAATTCAGGAGATTGCTAATAATAATATCATTACGACAAAATTGAATAGTCATATCAAATCTAACTTTTTAGGTCGCGTTGCATTAATGTTTTTGTATGAGTTGTAACTAAACATCCTAAATCTTAGTATATTTTCACTCAGGTTATTGGGGCCTCCATGAAATGGAAGAAATGCTTACGTCTCTGTGCGATACCGCCCTGTGTACTCGACTTACTGTACTTCAATTCTCAACATGGATAGTGTAGTTTTCCTATTTGATATACGAAAATTCATGTTCATCACAAAACATAATTAATTGTCAAGATATTAGCTATCACCCTGTTATCAATATTTCAGTTGATCGAATTATTCTTCAAACAAACTTTTATCATCAAAGTAGAAATTCTATCAACAAGTCGTTTTTTGGATCTTATAGGGCACAACTTCACTTAGAAAAAAATGTCTGTTCTACCACCTTTGAAGGCACACAATCCAACATTTGAATCGCTGTTGCTCGCAAACTAGTCATAGGATTGAGTTGGGCCTATGGGAGCTTTTGATAAGGATATCACAAACTACAACATACTTATACCCATAAGAGCGGTGCGTTTTTTCATGAGTCATAATATGAGTGAAATATATTCACAAAGTATAAATAGATTATATAAGGTGGTCAAAAAATTATGATTCAATAATGATTTGGCCAAAATCAAGATAACAAACAAGGTAACTCCTTCTATACCAGTTATAAATGAGGGTCCCAATCAACACAGGATGTCATGGATATCCATTTCAAGTCCTATTCAAACAAAGCGGGATATCCGTGGACATAAAATGTATATCCATAAGATATCCGATTGCGGATGTACTTGAGATATCCGAAACAAACGTCCTGAATACGTCCATAGGATATCCATAAGATACAGAGACAAAAGATCAATACCTAGAAATTTCAAATCAATAAGTATATACAATGAAGGAAATGATAAATAAATAAAAGGAGATCTTCCAGAAGATAGCACACATTGTGATGCACTATCTGCTATTATTATTAATTCGGTTTCCAAAAACAGCGCGAGGTGGCGTAACGTCTCAAATAGTCCAAGATTGGTAGAGCTGATGATTATTTATAGATCATCGATTCTACCAACCTTGGAATGGTCAAATAATGTCAATCTGTTCTCATATTTAATAAATTTGAAGTGAATTTGGGAGTATGATTCCTATGAATTCGTCCAAAATTGATGATGCATAAGAACTGACAACTACATTATTCGAACGCAGTGAGATGTGAGTGCTTCCCAATTTTTGTGATTTTTTCTATATATAGGGTATACTATCTCTTATCCATATCCATATAGTTGATATCTCATGGATATCCATAATGAATATCTTTAAGACATCCAAAAAGGTCACACTGTCACATCCTATGGACGTCCATAGGATATAACAGAGCCTAGCTCGGATATCTTATGGACATCTACGATATCCATGATGGATATCCATAGTACTTGTGCTATCTGGGGGTAGGAACATTCATAAGTGGCGATTTTGAACCATCAAAGTGTCCTCTATCTGAACGTAGAATATGCATATTTGAATCTGAAGCACCATGTGTAATAGATGAAAAAAACGATCGATGTCACTCAACCTATGTGTGACTTCTAATATACATCGCATTGATGTGATGTTGCAGTCTCCACAGTGCCATGACTAGCTGCCATGTCTCTGCTACGTAACTAATAGCAAGCAAATTTCTACTCACTGGTCATGATGTTGATATTGTCCATATGTTCGGAGCAACAATTTTCTGCCTCTCGGCAGCATGTCAGGAAATTGTTGAACAGTGCCTCGGATTTGAAAGATCTCATTATGTAAGTCAATGCAGTCAAGTTTTTGTAGTCGTATACAGCGGTTGTGGTGTCGTCTATCTAAAATTAGAAAATATCTGAATGCGAGTACAATATCGATAAAGTTTGAGAAATATCTATTTGAATACATGTATATATTGATTGATTGATTGATTAAAAGTGTTTGGGATCACACGTTAAAAGGTAAGGCCCTGTCATTCCTTGCTCGCACAAGACTCTCGGAGACTTCTGAGGGTTGCTCGTGAGGGGGCAACCGAATGACGGATAGAACAATTTTCCAAAGAACAATTATACAAACAATTTTACAAAAATTCACAACAACAAAAAAGATTGATTGATTGATTGATTGATTGATTGATTGATTGATTGATTGATTGATTGATTGATTGATTGATTGATTGATTGATTGATTGATCGATCGATTGATTGATTGATTGATTGATTGATTGATTGATTGATTGATTGATTGATTGATTGATTGATTGATTGATTGATTGATTGATTGATTGATTGATTGATTGATTGATTGATTGATTGATTGATTGATTGATTGATTGATTGATTGATTGATTGATTGATTGATTGATTGATTGATTGATTGATTGATTGATTGATTGATTGATTGATTGATTGATTGATTGATTGATTGATTGATTGATTGATTGATTGATTGATTGATTGATTGATTGATTGATTGATTGATTGATTGATTGATTGATTGATTGATTGATTGATTGATTGATTGATTGATTGATTGATTGATTGATTGATTGATTGATTGATTGATTGATTGATTGATTGATTGATTGATTGATTGATTGATTGATTGATTGATTGATTGATTGATTGATTGATTGATTGATTGATTGATTGATTGATTGATTGATTGATTGATTGATTGATTGATTGATTGATTGATTGATTGATTGATTGATTGATTGATTGATTGATTGATTGATTGATTGATTGATTGATTGATTGATTGATTGATTGATTGATTGATTGATTGATTGATTGATTGATTGATTGATTGATTGAAGTACTCACGATTGTCGATGGTACTCACGATTGCCGCTGGTACTCCAGCAACTTTATTATTGCACATTACACGTTGGCTAGTATAATTATACTTGTAGTGCAGTCTGGCATCATTGGTGTAGTTGTAGCAATAAAATCCTGCAAAATGGTTCCAGAGTCCTTGGGGGTAGTAAGCTTCCCGAAGGAGACACTCTTTGGAGGGATCCTGTTCGTAAAATATCGAGATAATTAATGTAGTTCAGGTGATGTCGATGAAGATTTGCTGAACGATTTTATTCACGAGTCCCTATATTCACTTGGTAGCAAATACCACGACTTGTTATTATTACGAAGTCATATCTCACTGTTATAATGCATTGCAGATACTCTTGAACAATTCAACGTTGTAGACTTAGATTTGTAGCTAAGATGGAAGTATCATTCGTGAATCGATTGTTAGCTGGCCTAGTGCAACTGATGATGCTTGACAAGCCGAAACAGTATGTCTTGCATCAGCTGAAAATCTATTCTAGAAATTTGTTTTTCGAAAATAAAATGGACCATCGAAGGTGGGAGCGAAGATTATCTCTACTTAGTATCATTATCACTGATCTGCTCTCTTACGGTCTCCCATAAAATCAACGGAATGTGGAAGTAAATGTATACAGGGTGTTTCATGGGGAAATGTAAATAATCAACTGTGGAAAGGGGCCACTGAGATGATTTCAAAACACCCATGGTTGAGGGACCTCGACATTTTATAACCGAGATACGGGATATGTTCCATAAATTTTGCCCATATCTTTATTGTCACATAACTCTCCAACCAACCTGTATATTTATTTGAAAATTGGTACACTTACTCAATCTATCCTGTCGAATTGATTGAGGCATCAACAGAAGATAGAATCCAGGTCCGGCCTCACTTAAAATTCACAAATTTTTTTCTGCCTAGAAACAACACCCTATACATTTGAATTTCTCAATGTTTTGGCTATATCTGAGAAAAGCATCAAAACGTCTCTTCGATGATGTACTTTTCATGTATGCACAGACGATTTTTACTACTCATATTATGTGCTCAAAATATTATTTTTGCTCATTTTGGGGTATAAAGTGATTTCAGACGAAGATTTTTTAGTTTTATCACTTCCTATTCAGTCCACGTGGGTATTACGTTGAGGAAGAGTGTTTCATATCGTTCTTTGTATCCATCCAGACTATCAGAAGATATAGTTGCAGGTCCGTCATCAAAACTATTCAGGGCTTCACGATGAGCATTAATTATACGTATCTGGCAATCCAAGCAACGGATGAATCTGAAAAGTCTAGGGTATGTATATACAATCATCTATTGGCGTATGAGAAAGAAACATTCCATGGTAATGAAATCAGACAATAAGTCTGAAACAATATGGTCCATTGTGAATAGAGAGCTAGGTGAGTCTAAACAGAACTATCCATCATTCGAAGAAATTGAATTCAATTACGAACTCATATCGTTACCAGACAAAGCGTGTGAAATCTTTAATAATTTTTTTATTACTGCAGCCTTCAATCGTTTGGGGAAATGCTCAACCTAATATAAACCTAGACCATGTTGAGAATTTCACATCTCAATTGTTGTAACAGAAACAACTCAAGAGGAAGTTCTGGAGGTAATTAAGGGATTAAAAAATAATGCAGGTGATAATGGAATTTTTTTACTGAAAACTATCTGTCACTACATATTGGATCCTTCGACTCATATTTTGAATGAATCATTCAGAAGAGGTAGTTCTCTTTCTAGGTTGAGAATCGCCATTGTAAGGCCGCTATTCAAATGAGGACCCCTTACCTAGTTGAAAGTCATAGGCCAATCAGTATTTCATCTAGTTCCTCAAAATTATTTGAAATTATGATGAGTAGACGACTGGTTCCATTCATGATATCGAACAATATTGTATCAGATATTCAACACGGTTTTCAAAAAGGAAAATCTACTATTACTGCCATTTTTGCTTTCACAGGAAGAAGGCTAACTTAAAAACTTCAGAAGCTTATCGTGGCTATTTTAGAAAAGTTAATCTCTTGACATTGCCTGATGCATATATCCTTGAATGTGTCAATTTTGTATACAAAAACGAACAGATATTCAATGATTCCTCACATCATCATTCTCACAATATGAGACGGCAAGAAACATTTTCATTTCCACTACATGAGGCATCCCTTTTTGAGAAAGTTTGTTATTATCAGTGCTTAAGGTACTAGAATATGCTCCCAAACGATATCAAACAAATCAAAATATTCAATAGTTTTAAAAAAACCATAAAATCGATATTAGTCACAATAGAACCTTATAAAATAGAGGATATCAATAAAGCAATTATATCCCGTTGTCACAATGAGGGAAGATAAGGAAATTATGTACATCTCTCAGAGGCTTCTTGATTTTTATAATTATTTGTATTCTACTGTATGTATTTGACTTGTATTAAACAGAATTTGATGTTCTGTTCTGATACTAAATGCATTCTCTATTCTATTCTATATGAACATGATCTCCACGTCCGACATATTTGAAACGATCCGGCGTTGCTGCTTCTACTAGAGAGTATCAGTAACTTTGATTTTTCAAATGGGACACCCTGAATTCATCCTGAAGAGCTGATTTCATCGATTCACAACGTCCGGGGTCTAGTGAGAATAATAATTACTCAGATATTCAGAGTGTGAAAAATCGAGATGTCCCTACTTCAGAAATATTTTGTGGAGTTTGTGGACGAAAATATTTATTATTGATCAAAACGGCTTTCATGTCCGTATCTCACCTTCGTTTTTACTATCTACTGACAATAAATCGGAACAAATACAAGGTGGTTCATAATTCAGAATTCTGCACCACCCTGTATCTGTTTCGATTGAAAACCAATCGATAGTGAATGAAAAGTAAGGATAGGGACCTGAAAGCCGTTTCGACCATGCAATAATTATTAGTTTCAACACGAAAAATTTCTAAAGTTGAAACATCTCCATTTTTCACACCCTATATCTCAGTTATCAGCCCCGCTAGACCTCGAATGTTGTGAATTGATAAAATTAGCTCTTCAGAAAGAATCCAGGAATGTGATGACATACATTTGAGAAATCGAAGTTGCTGCTACTTTATAGTTGAAGCGGCAACGCCTTATTGTATCAAATATTTCAGACGTGTAGATTATGTTGATTTATACAAACCATCGGATTTTCAGATCCACCCATTGCCTGATTTGCCAAACACGTCTAATTATTGCTCATCGTGGAAAGCCCTGTATAGTTTTGATGACAGACCGGAGTTAATACGCGATGATGAGTCTAATACGCGATGATGAGTCAATACGCGATGATGAGTTCTCCTCAAGTAAAATTATCCGTAAGTAAAATACCTCTCCATTAGGATTTTCGGGCGAGAGGTGCTTTAGGGGGTTCACCATCGGCTGAAAAAGTCCTCAAGATAGACCTATGTAACATCCGAGGTCTAAGTAAGAACATCAACGATGTCCATCGACACCTTCAAATTGAAAAGCCAGACATATTGGCTCTCACTGAGACACAGGTCAATTCATCCACCAATACGACCTATCTGCTCTGTCCTGGGTACGAACTCCACACACGTTTCAGATTCAAGGGAGGTCTCTGCCTCTACTCTAAAACGAATCTCTGATGTCAACGAGAAAAAACTTTGGAACCAAATAAGTTTGATGTCATGTGGTTCAAACTCGATAGCCAGAAACAGACCAAATACCTATGTTGTCTCTACTTATCACCAAATGATCCATCCTATGAAGAGCTCTTCGAATTCTTGTCTCTGAAGCTTGACCAAATTCAACAGAACCATCCAGCAGCAGGAATTATCATCATGGGCGATTTCAATGTACACAACACTGCTTGGCTCGTACACTCCAACAGAACGGCTTCGAGCAGCTTATCAAAGAACCCACACGAATTCCCGATGCCAATAACCATTCAGCTAACATACTTGACTTATTCCTCACTAATAATTCAGCACCCTACACCATAGATGTACGAGCTCCACTTGGCAATTCTGACCACACACTCATCTCCACAACCTGCCCATTTTTCATTCCATCAACTGCTCCGGCACCCCCACGCCTTATATGGTATTACAATTCAGGAGATTGGGACGGTCTCCGCATGTTTTTCTCCGAGTTTCCTTGGCATAGAGTATGCTTTTACTCTGAGGACCCTTCACAGTGTGCTGCGGAAATATCTGAGATCATCATGCTCGGAATGGACACATACATACCTCATTTTTCGAAAAGATCATCACCTTCGAAACCCTGGTTCAACAAAAACTGTTCTAGAACTGTTGCCTTGAAACAAACAGCCTACCATCACTGGCGCAAAAAACCCTAACCTCGCGACTAGAGCAGAATACGTTGATGCCAGGAATAACTGCAGCCAAACAATAGATGCCTCGAAAGAAACATACAATGCCAAGATAAGATCGAAACTCATAGATTGCCCCAATGGTTCCCGTTCGTTTTGGTCCCTTGCTAAAGCGGTCGGAAGAAATTTCACTAATAGTTCATTTCCACCACTGTCCAAATCCGACGGCACACTAGCAACAACATCGCAGGAGAAAGCGAATATTTTTGCAGAGATGTTCGCAGCAAACTCTACTTTAGATTCCTAAGGAAAACTGCCGCCTGACATTCCACCCGTTGAAAGTCGAATGCCCGAAATCGTCTTCCGTCAACGCACTATCAGACGAATCTTGCTTGGTCTCAAAACGAATAAGGCTAACGGTCCTGATGGAATTCCACCCATAATCCTCAAAAAATGTGCACCAGAACTAACACCGATTCTCTGCAAGTTGTTTACCATCTCGTACAGGTCGGGTATTTTTCCATCATGCTGGAAGACAGCTAGAGTCCAACCAATCCCCAAAAAAGGGAACAAGAACCTGCCCAACAACTACAGGCCCATTGCCCTGTTATCAGTAATCTCCAAAGTGATGGAGAAAGCCATCAATATTGAGCTCATCAAATATCTGGAGAGCTCAGGAACCATAAATGATAGACAATACGGCTTTCGCCACCGAAGATCTACTGGAGATCTACTTGCCTACGTCACCCATTTATGGCAATCTTCAATGGAAAAACACGGGGAATCTCTAGCTGTCGCGTTGGACATATCGAGAGCATTCGACCGTGTTTGGCACGAAGGACTCCTCCACAAACTACCATCATACGGCTTACCACCTCAGCTATGCCATTTCCTATCGAGTTTTCTTTCCGGCAGATCGCTTCACGCGGTGGTGGACGGTGTATCGTCTGATACCATTGGCATCAATTCCGGCGTTCCACAAGGATCAATTTTGGCACCAACATTATTCCTGCTTCATATCAATGATCTGTTGGGAGTAACAACTTGCCCCATCCACAGCTTTGCAGATGATAGTACCCTCCATACTGCGTTCTCTTCCAGAATTCCCATTTCTTCCCAGGAAACTAAGAACTCACGGCGCAGGCAGGTCAATGCTGTCAATGAAGATCTTGCAGAAATCACAGCGTATTTCCATCAGCAACACTCTTTCATGGGATAATCATGTCAGATCCATCGCAAAAGCTGCTTCACAAAAACTCGGATTCTTGTTCCGTGCGAAAAGCTACTTTACCACGTTGGCTACCATATGAGTCTCATGTGATGCACACTCTCATTTGCTCTACAAACCACCGTAAAAAATCGCATACTTCCTCTCTGTACCAAGTGAAGAATCAAACTCAAAACGTAGCCTTTCGCTACAAGATGTCGCTATATTGTATTTTGGAGCAGATGCCTTCATCTCGATAGAGTTTGCTGAAAGATCACCGGTGATTCACATGGTACATAAATGAACTATTTCATCATATGATTGTAGGGAACTCCTTATATTTTGTTGTTTTTTCTTCGATTATGAGCGCCTTTATTCAAACATTCATCAGAAAATAATGGACAATTAAGACGAAAAACGTATTTCGAGGAGTACGCAAAAATTCAAAGATGGCAGAAAAACATACAAAATTGGTTACCACCTTTTACGCGGAATGCCCCGAGAAACCTTCATACTGTTTGGACTGTTTTCAAAAAAAAAAACATCAGTATTTTCTTTGTACAATGATTATTGATAAGATTATCATTTACTTATGAGTGTAACAATTTCAATAAAAAATTGACAAGAGAGTGAGCGGTGCGTCTTTTCATCAGAATAATCCAGTCAATTTCTATAGGCATTTTCCAGATTTATGTGTATCACTGGTGATACCCACTTCAACCCGATATTATTTGGTTCATACCTGTACCATACCCACAATCTAATTCCTTCGTTTATACACTAGGCTTCTCTACAAGCATTCAAATAATATGTGTTCATTATCACCGGTGATACATAAAGTACAGAAGTGAACTATGAAAAAGCATCACCGGTGATACATATGGTACCCTGGGTCAGAATGTTGAAATCAGGCTTGGTAGTCAACGTGTTAAACCACAACAGCTTCTCATGATCTACAAAGCGCAGATACGGCCTGTTCTAGAATACTGTTCCCACATATGGGGTTCAGCACCAAAACATACGCTGATGCTCTTAGATTCCATCCAGAAAAGAGCCATTCGCCTGGTGGGTGACGTCACACTCACTCACTCTTTGACATCATTAGAACACCGTAGAAAGGTCGGCGACCTTTCACTTTTCTATCGATACTTTCACGGGAAATGTTCTTCGGAAATCTCTGCTATCATCCCTTCACTAGCAATACCAATCAGACGAACTAGACAAGCCCAGTCAGCACATCCTTTCGTTGTCAACCTCGAAAGATGTCGAACAGCACTTTATCAAGACTCCTTCATCCATAGAACGGCTAGGCTCTGGAATTCATTGCCTGTGGAAGTATTCCCAACAACATATAATCTCCAAAAGTTAAAAAAAATTCCAATACCTACCTCCTGTCCCTATCCTCCCTAGGAACGCACGATGTTCTTTGAACATTATAGGGATTCCCTTTCGTGCGCTCCAAGCGATAAAAAAAAAACTCTATTTGCTAATAGTCTGAATTGTGAAAAGATTATTCCCTGTATATGTTGTAGTTTTCAGTTTAGAAGTGTTGATGAGAATGTCACTCAATTTTTTGAAATAAAATGTCAAATCATTTAAATTTTCCCAATTGATATCGCTGATACTGGGCATAATTACAACGAGCTCTGCTGATACATTAACAGGTTATGGGCCCAGAAATCTTGAGAAATTGAAAGAAAGAGAAAAATAAGAAAAATAAAAATAAGAAACAGATTGGACTATTCACCATGTAGATATCACAGCTGCATACCTATCAGCAGATTTCAAGGAATACGTTTACATGGAAATACCTGACGGTTATCAAGAAGTGTATGACAAGTTGAAGAACAAATTTTCGAATTCAGTGTCAGGAAAAGAAAAGACAGAAAATGGTTTGGTTTGTAAATTAAATACAAGTTTGTATGGGTTACATCAATCAGGTTTTATGTGGAATCAAACTATAGATGGATTCATGAAAAAACTGAATTTCTTTAGATGCATTTCTGACCCATGTGTTTATTATAAGGAAGAAGATATTATCATCACAGTTTATGTGGACGACATACTGATTTTCGGAGCACATGGAATGGTGGAAAATATGAAGAGAGAATTCAAAACACGTTTTGATACTAATGATCTAGGCGAAGTGAAGAATGTTTTGTCAATAAGAGATACCAAAAATGAGCATAGCATAAGATTAGATCAAACTGTATATGCAAATGAAATACTCAATGAAATGAACATGACCCAAGCAAAATACGTTAAGACGCCTTTACTCATTGGAGAAAAATATATTCTCAATGATGACAACTATTGAAAGAAGACGAGAAGAGACTTTACCAGAAGCAGTATTCTATATTTGGCTGTTTCAACAAGAGCAGATTTGATATTTGCAGCTACTTTTATGAGCCAGTTCAACCAAAAGCCGACTAAACATCATTGGAAAGGACTCAAACATGTTTTGAGATATCTAAATGGTACAAGAGAATATGGTATAGAATACAGAAAGACAAGACAGACCATGAAGGCATATACTGATGCAGATAGGGGTGTGCGAATGAGATTGATAGAAGATCGTTCAGCGGATATGGTTTCATTCTTGGGGTAGGAGCAATATCTTGGTGTAGCAGAAAACAACAAAGTGTAGCACTCAGTACTGTTGAATCTGAATTCATTGCCCTCACCGAAACGGCTGAAGAATTATTATTCCTCAAGAAATTAGGTCAAGAAGTGAAGAAGGGTGGACTTTCTGAAATACCGTTCCAGATTAACATTGACAACGAAGGAGCAATCAAGTTAGCAGAAAATCAAACAACTTCGGAGAGATCAAAACATATTGACTTGAGACTGTTTCACATCAGGGATCTCATAGAAGAAAAAACTATTGAGTTGAAGTATATAGAGTCCAAGAAGAATTAAGAAGACTAGTTCACGAAACCTATTTCTGCAGATCTACTCAAGGACCATTTATGCATATTGGGAATCAGAGATTCAGGGAAAATGTGAAAAGATTATCCCCTGTATATGTTGTAGTTTTTAGTTTTGAAATGTTGATGAGAATGTCTCTCAATTTTTGAAATAAAAAGTCAAATCATTTGAATTTTCTCAATTGATATCGCCGATACTGGGCATAATTACAACGAGCTCTGCTGATACATTAACATGAATAGATACAAACAACGATATGAAACACTCCTACTGAACTCAATACTTGAGTAGACTGAATAGGAAGTCATAAAATTAATAAATCTCCGTCTGATTTCACTTTATACCCCAAAATGAGCAAAAATTATATTTTGAGCACATAATATGAGTAGTAAAAATCGTCTGTGCATGGATAAAAAGTACATATAAATGTAGAGGGTGAAGTGAAGCCAGACCTGGATTTCATCTTTTGTTGATACCTCAATCAATTCGACAGGATAGACTGAGTAAGTGAACCAATTTTCAAAAAAATATACAGGTTGGTTGGAAAGTTATGAGACAATGAAGATATGGGCAAAATTGATGAAACATCCCATCTTCGACATCTTATAATTGAGATATAAATGTCGAAGACCCATCATCCATGAGTTCTTTTAAATCACCTCAGTGACCCCTATCCACAGTTGAATCATTGACCTCTCCCAATGAAACACCCTGTATAATAGTAATTATGAAAAATATACTCACGTTGTTTGCGCATAGTTCTTCTAATTGACCCTGGAAAATATCACATAACTTCGTTATTTTCAAAATATATTCTACCACAATGAACAAGAAGTCTAATGACTCGATCTTTGAAATACTTTTTCTGCTCATGAAGATCAAATCTGTTCATAAGTGAGAGTGCAGCAGTCGACATTCTTCAGAATGAGGATTTCAGTTCATTCACATCTAGTTCTGGATTCTGAATCCATCAATACTAAGATGAATGAGGTAGTATGTTGTGAAGGATTATTGTGAATAATATTTATACAATCATAGTGCTGTCCAATCAACAAGAATTTCAAAATGAAAGATAGCTACCTAATGATTTTATTCAACAATTTATGACCACTAACTCAGCGACTAATAGGAAAAACACTCAATAATGCCGCGACATTATATAGGGTGATTTACGTAGGCAACACATTAGAAGTTTTACTACTTGCAGTTGGTATGCTGTCATAATCTTCCATTTTCAATCCTGAAATATGTTCAGTCCTCTTGCTTTACAGCTCTACAGAAATGGAGGTCCTTGACTTACGTCAGCACTATTACTTTAAAATTGGGATAAGACAATTCAAAAACAGATTCAATCTACCACTCATCAGCCAACGAATAACTCTCTGAGAATGGTATCATCTAGAACGAGAATAGGACAGAGGAATCTTATATTCTCAGCTTGTATATTGATATTTCAAATAGCCTTGTCCATTATATTCATTTATTATTTCGCAGCTTCGAGTCAAAACAACACCCTGTATATCAATATTTCAGAATATCATTAACAAATTTGAGAAGAGCAGGGAAATAGGTGAGACTGAATGTATTCGGTGTTTCCGCATACAACTTTTCAAATTTTTGAATCCCAACATAATTGAAAAAGAGAGGACATGTCCGTATTTGGGACAAATTATTATTATAAATGACTAACTTTTATGTGTGAAATTATCATAACATTTGTTTATTGTACTACATTCAAAACAACAATTATGAAAATGTTAAGCAATGCCAATTCCGAAAACTTCATTTCAAACAAAAATGTCGTTGCAACAAATAGTATTGAGTTGAATCCATCGACATACAACATGTTCATCATTATTGAATTTGTGTCATTGAGAAAGCAATATATCTGTTATTGAAGAATAACTTCAGAACACAAAATACAAGTGAAAAGTACGAAGTCATCAACTAACGTCAAGATTGTACTCCAACATCAGCCATCTTGACAGTAGACGAATACCTCCATTTTGTGTTCTATAATTAATTAGCATATATTTTCGTATATCGTAAATCTATCCATATTTATTATGACTTTCTCATGTTTGACTGGCTTGTACATTCTTTTATAGTTTATGTATCATAGTGCAATAAAGATTATTATTATTACAACGATATGGGATATCAAACCCAAAGTGTACGAACAGACAGCTTCATTCCATGATCATTATCAAGAATGCATCAGAAGAGTCGAGAGATGATCATGATCTAGCTAAAAAATCAATCAGACGTGGATGAAGGAAAGTTGTTTTTATTTTCTGTTATGTTTAACGTTCAAATGTGGATTGGTGGCAACGATATTTTTGTTTGAAACAAAGGTATGATTCTTTCGGAATGGAAATTGTTCTTCATTCTCATAATTGTTGTTTTGAATGAAGTGAGATGAACAAATTTTATGATAATTCACTCACACATACAAGGTATTCAAAAGTTAGTAATTTAATAATAATGATTTTCCCAAATACGGACTTGTCCTCTAGTTTTTCAATTAGGTTGGGATCCAAAAACATGAGAATAAGAAGAAGTTGATGAGTTTATGGATTGAAAATCAAAAAGTTTTTGGGGACGACAAATTTATTGTTTTCAATTCTGTGCCACCTCCTTATCGACTCAAGTTATTAGATGAAGAAGTTGTATACGAAAACACCAAATGATTTCAGTCATACTGATTATTTCCTGCTCCTTTCAAATTTCTGAATGCTATTTCGAAATTTTGATATACAGTGTGGTCATATTCAAGTGTGCAACATATGAAAATCTTTTTAATGAATTGCACAACCAAAATACAACTTGTGCCAAAAGGGTGCATATGTGGTAATTATTTTAGGTACACTTAGAATGATTGTGAGTCACACAGCATACAGGATAGGTCAAAAAATATAAAAATTGCTCAGGAGTAAAGTACCCTTATTTCAGAAAATTCAGCAGAATGTTATGAGAAAAAGTTGTTTACAATTGAAAGTTATGCCTAAATACCAAAACATGGCCTCCTAAGACATTTTTTAGTTTTTCAATTTTGTTCGTTAATAATTTCCCAATTTGTAATATTTCAGATACAAAATGTGCACATTGAATGGAAGTTTTTGAATATGCATATTATCATTAATGATGTTTTACCTTGTTAAAAATATGGTTTGCGAAATTTTGAAGTTGAGCTGAATATCGTTGCAACAAACGTAAAGTTTGTGATTCCCTAAAAAAACTAAAATCTAAGTTAATTGCACAAATATGCTTGAATTCGAACGAAGGTATGCTCAACTGATTTTGTTATGAATAAGGGTACTTTACTCTTGAGCTATTTTTATGTTTTTTGACCTACCCTGTATGCTGTGTGACTTGCAAACATTCTAAGTGCACCTAAAATGATTACCGAACATGCACCAACTTTTGGCACTGTCAGTATTTTGGTTGTGCAATTCATTGAAAAGATTCCCATATGTTGCACACTTATAAAATGACCACTTTGTATGGGGTGTTGTTTCGACTCGAAACCAACTCATTAATATTTCCATGGCCGGTCCTGGAATAAAATTTTTTTCATGTCAATAGTCACCACTGTAGACAAGGAACATACAAATCAAATATCAATGCATTGTATAGTGTGGTTCATAAGTTATGATTGATTGAAAAAATTGGGAAATAAATAAATCACCCTGTAACTAGGTTATGAAAATGATAGACCCATGCAATATAAATTATTCAGGAGCACCTCGGTGTCCTCCATCTACCTTAACTGTATGCGCATTTCCCAATGAATCACCCTGTATAACGACCCTTTACATTTCTGATTTCAAAACCTCAAAACTAATCACCAACTTCATTGTTTTGGGGTAGTAAAGTCATAGTAGCTACCATATATTGTATGAACATAATATAGTCATGAATCGTATTGAATAAATTTACATAGGTATAATAAACTATGATAATATTTATCAATGAATTCGTTTATTTATTTGTGATATCTTTTGTGATCTTTACAAACATTGGCAAATTCCAGATGATGAACTGATAACACTCATTTGATCAATGATGACTAATTGATTATAGAACGATTTTTCACGATTGTGATTGAGAAGTCCTGCTTGGCTACAAATATTTTTTTTTAATAAGGACAGCCCATTGAATTAGTACTTCTTTTTACATAGATCACCTTGTATATAGAATCATATTGATAAATGCATTCGTTTTTATTTTATTGAAAAGTCAATCAAATATTTCGAGTTTTTACACAAAGCAATAAAGGTTCAGATGATAAAAATATTAGGATAATAATGTTTTTATCAACATATTGAGAACGTGAAAATCTATTCACAGGGTGTGCAATTTCAACTCGCAAAACGTCCTTATTTGAAATTTGTTAACCGGTTTTTCATAACAAAAATTCCATTATATAGTACTCTATGATATGCCTCCAAAAAATAACACAGTTATTTCATTGAAAAGGTATTCCTACGTACTGTAATAATACCAATAAATTCAGTAGCTACTGTCACACAGGGCTGCCATAATAACTTTGGTACCTTATTCCTTCACTTCGTGAAGTAATAACCGTATCGAATTTTTATGTATGTGTGAGCGATTGAGAAGGATTTTATATATCCCATGCATTCTGACAAATCTTACAAATATATATGTTTCAACTCTATTGAAAAGGATCCAATTATATTTTTCGCTGCATGATGGAACATCTCCGTTTCCCACTGTTAATCGTTTTGTGAATGCCTAACAGTATATTGTTTAACGAGCACGGAATGATAGTGATTTCCTACGAGAATATGGTTTGCAGCATTAGCAGTAGGCGAATGCTGCAATATCATTCGTGTGGGGAATTAGCATTTTCTCTAAAGTAATGCTCAATGCTCATCTATTATAGACAGAGCTGTCATTGCTTGAAATTTAACATGCCCTGGGCGATGAGATTTTTCTGAAATGATGACAAAAAGGAGTCATTGTGATATCAGATACGGAAATGAAATTGATGACAAGCGAAGTACCTTATTGATGTATTGATTGGGACGAAGTGCTTTCATAGTAACAATAGGTCCATATTTCAGTTTCACAGAATTATAGTGATTGAAATATCCTGCTAGTGATGAGAAAAATTCAATATACATCATGTTGGAGGACAGCTAGAGTCCAACCAATCCCCAAAAAAGGGTACAAGAACCTGCCCAACAACTACAGGCCCATTGCCCTGTTATCAGTAATCTCCAAAGTGATGGAGAAAACCATCAATATTGAGCTTACCAAATATCTGGAGAGCTCAGGAATCATCAATGATAGACAATACGGCTTTCACCACCGTAGATCTACTGGAGATCTACTTGCCTACGTCACCCATTTATGGCAAGCTTCATCAGAAAAACACGGGGAATCTTTAGGTGTCACGTTGGACATATCGGAAGCATTCGACCGTGTTTGGCACGAAGGACTCTTCCACAAACTACCATTATACGGCTTACCACCTCAGCTATGCCATCTCTTATCGAGTTTTCTTTCAGGCAGATCGCTTCACGTGGTGGTGGACGGTGATGTATCGTCTGATACCATTGGCATCAATTCCGGCGTTCCACAAGGATCAATTTTGGCACCAACATTATTCCTTATTCATATCAATGATCTGTTGGGAGTAACAACTTGCCCCATCCACAGCTTTGCAGATGATAGTACCATACTGCGTTCTCTTTCAGAATTCCCATTTCTTCCCAGGAAACTAAGAACTCTTGGCGCAGGCAGGT